TAATTAACCAAGGTAATAATGAACAATTTTCAATCAATACATCAAAATAAATAGACCGACATCACTAGATGGAGGTAGTCTATGCTCTAGAAAGTTACTTTTCAGCCTCTGAACAAAAATGAGAACACACCCACCCACCCACACACAGACACACCCACCCACACACACACACACGATACTGACCTGTGGGGTACACAGACAGCAAGAGTGCCGTAGCAGATTCCATTTCACCTCAGTAATCTGTTTTCTCAGCGTATTTCAGGTTGCTACTAGTTACCAGACACTCAACTTGTTTGTTGGTGGTGGGGCTTAAAGAAAAGGCACTAGCGTCACCGAGTGTATGAGCGTCTTTTTTCCTTGAGGAGCTCCGCTCTCGAAGCCTATGGAAAATGCATAGACTGGGGGAAAATAGCCTCGCCTTCCCGCAGGCTGCAGCGGGATGTACTTGGAAAATTGTACCATAAAACCACATAGCGTTAATCTCACGTTAAAAAAATTATCGCCGTTAAAATGGCCTCGCGTTAACGCGATAATAACGCGATAATTTTGACAGCACTAATATATATATATATATATATATATATATATATATATATATATATATATATATATATATATATATATATATATATATATATATATATATATATATATATATATACATATGTGTGTGGGTGTATTTGTGTAGGCTATATATCAGTGTCTAGCATTTATCACATATTTATCATTATGATGATAAGTTTCTAAGAATTTTGATTTGATCAATTTAACCATTCATCCATCTTCACCAGCCACCAGCTTATTCAGTCAGGGTCACAGTGGGGTCGATGCCTATCTCCAGCAGTCTATGGGCTGGAGGCAGGGTACACCCTGGACAGGTCACCAGTCTGTCTTAAGGCAAACACAAAGACATACAACCATACACAAACACACTAGGGCAAACTATAGATGCCAATAAACCTAACAGTCATGTTTTTGGATTATGGAAGCCAGAGTACCCGGGGAGAACCCCTGCATGCACAATGATAATATGCAAACTACATTTTTTTTTAACCATATATTAATATGTTTTTTGAATATATTGTTAGTATATTGTAATATTCTTCTTTTGTTCTTTAATTGGTTCTATTGGGGTATTTGCTAATTCGAAGAATATGATTAAACTCTGCTAGTACAGGAAGTTTAGCGATACAGATCACATTTTACATATTTAAGGGGTTAAGGCTCACGGACCCAGAGTGGAGACTGTGGGGACTGAACCGGGTACTTATATTGACCCTCACTGCTCACCTGGTGCCACACAATGGCAGCCCACTGCTCCCCAAAGGGATGGGTTAAATGCAGAGGGTGAATTTCGATATATATATATATATATATATATATATATATATATATATATATATATATATACACAATGGCGTAACGACACAACAATAGGCCTGTAAGCTACATTACCTGGGTGGGCCCCATATGAAGTAACCCCTCTCTCTTTGTCTTTGCTCTTTCTTTTCTGGTACCTCTTTTTGGTATCCATTGTCGCTAACACATTGTACGTAATGGTTATGGTTCAAATCTACGCTTTGGATTACCCATAATTCCAAGTTTTATTGTAAAAAATAAAATACTCAAATACATTGTTCTTTTAAGATCTTTATTGCAGTTTGAAACATTTTATACGAGCGTATTTTTTTCAACCGTCTAATGAACTATACACAGTTCGTGTTTAAACGGTTCACCATCATGTTGAAATCTGCCATGTGTTAGGGTATTGATAAGGCCCGTTAGTCAACCTAGTATCAGGTGGGTTTAAAACTACAGTGTGTAACTTTTAGCGACATCTAGCGGTCAGACTGCAGACTGCAGCAACATGAACATCTCCCCCCACCGCTTCTCCCCCCCAACAGTACGGCGAGCGTTACGGGACAAATTGTCTTCCACGACGTCCGCATCACCTACCTTCCCAAGTGATGAGGTTTGTTTACATAGATAATTTTACAGATAGTATTTATTTAGTCTGTGTAGGTTATAGATTTCATGTAGACTTAAGATAATAAATATACCCGTTATTTTTTCTACATCGTTGTGACGTTTTGGCGATCTCGCAATCGCTAGTTTGTTGGCTCTGCGCTGCCGTGGCTGCGAGACCCGCTCCTATGTAATTATAAATAACGAATTCTAAGGCAATGCAAATATTAAGGTTAAGAGGCTGAGCTCGTAGATGATGATAAATAACATAGTTATGTATAATATATTACATTTCTGACATGTAACACTACATCTCCAAAGAGATGTCCTAGTCCACAATTGCGTAGGGGGCGTACCAGGAGTCAGTGACGGGCCCCTAAGCAACGACAGTCTCTACTTACTGATAGTTATGCCAGTGTGTGTGTGTGTATATATATATACATATATATATATATATATATATATATATATATATATATATATATATATATATATATATATATATATATATATATATATATATATATATATATATATATATATATGTATAGAGGGGGAGAAATGTATATTCTTAGAAACTTTAAATCACTGTTTCGATTACATTTATTAAAATGTACTTTTCATTTTTTTATTACGATGCACCTGCTTTTTATATGTATGATTTTTAAGAGGTGAAAAGCAACTGTTCATGTTCTATACCCCAGTTGTGCTCTTTGTACAAATGGGCAACAATAAAGACAGTACATTTCTCCTTAATCTCTATCGTATGCATATATTTGCATATATATTTTAAAGTGATAAATCTCAGTCCTGACTCCTAACTTTTAATAAAGCAGAGAGAGGAGCTGCTAGTTGTTGGAGGTTGGTGTCATCGCTCGGCTTCCTGCAGTCCTCTGAACGTTCTCCTCAGTCGGCGTGCTCGGCACGTACTCCGTCCCTCTCTCTATTATTGCTCTCAAACTAAACCACCATGGGGAGTTGAGGGCAAGGCGACGGGATATTTCTTCTAAATGCTTTAGTATCTGAAAGCGATCCTCATGCCGCGTTTTGGAGCACCGTGTTCACGCCAGTATCCCCGATGCAGCGGACCGAGGGGAACGGGCTTCCAGAAACGGTAGGAAGGACACTTTTAGGAGGAAAACACGGGACGTTAACGCATCTAGCCGAGGAAGCTAACAAACTAGCTCAAAGCGATGCTAGCTGCTTCTGCCGCTGGAAGTGGAAAGCTGCCCTCGCTTTCTCCTGTCTCCCACTCTTCCACCAGCCTGTTGTTATCGGGCCTATTTACTTAGAAAGTTGGTGTTGCTTTCGCGTGAGTTTTTATTGATTTATTGCATAATTCACGCTTGTGTCGGGGGTGTTGTTGCACACAGGCCTGTCTTGTAGAGTTTGTAGCGGTACCCATCCCCCACCGTTTTTTGCAGGCCAACATGAATGAGATTCTCACTTCAAAGCATCGCTGCTGGCATTGCTACGAGGCTAGTTAGCTGTCTTAGCTTGTTAACACTAGTTGCTTGTTTGGGAAATGACGTTTAACTTTGGAAACAGTAGGCTATGCCGGCTGTAAGCGGTGCTTGGCGAGTTTGGTGGTAAACAAACAGCAATAATTTAGCCATAAATCTCAGCTTAGAAATCTGCATAGCCGCTTCTCAAAAACTTGGGAGTCGCTTGCTTATGGGTTAAATTAGCTGTTTTACATTCAGTCTAATAACTCCATATTTATGTTGGTTAAGATTTTGAAATGAATCCTCTGCTGTTACAGATTGTTTTAATGTAAAAGAACATTAAAAGTTAGCTTTTCTCTCACATTTCATTCTAAAAGCTATAGATTAATTGTTTAAATGAACCCATGGTAGATTAAGAAATAAGATTGCTGAAATGTTCTGAAGTTTAGTTTTCTCTGTAAAAGCTGTAATGCAAAATCACCAAAAAAAACAAAACACATTGAACAGAAATAAATGTATATTTTGTAATGATTAACAATGTTAAGTGAAGGTACCTGCTCAAATAATTGACTGCAACAGTCTTTTTATTATCAATTAATACTGTAGATTATCATATTTAATAATGTAACAAGTAAATTTCTCCACTGTGAGATCAATAAAGTCAATCAATTAATTTCTAAGCTTGATACTGGGCTGAGAACCATTTCTAGTTTGAAACTAAAAGACATTCAGTTTCCTTTCTGTTTTAACTCAAACCTGGCAGTTTACTTATATAATTAAGCTAGAAAGTATACCATTATTTAATAAACAGATACATGAGCAGCTATTCAAACATAAACCAGACTCCAATTTTCATAATTTGTTTTCTTTTTTGCTGTGAAACATCTGATCGAATTTTCTTAGGAATGCTTAAAAATTAGAGCTTCAACATGTGTAACTTCAAAGTTGGTTGTCATTGAACTGATGGGTACTTTGGATCTGTTCGCTCGGACATTTCATGCAGTTTAATTTGAGTGGCCATCAAGAGTTTATAATATTTGAACATCTTGCAGGATATTTAGATCTGTGTTTTTAGGGGCCAGCTTTTAGAAGGCTTTAAAATGCTTTTAAAAATATGTTACATTCTGGTAACACAGTCCTTGTTATAGTGTTTTTAAAAATACATTTTAAGTTTTGGTAGGATCAAAAAGACCTTGTGAGCTTTTGAAGCATCAACCAAAAATTATTTGCTTTTCAGAATCATTTTACTTAATATTGAGTTTATTTGAAGTATATTTCCATTAGACTGATTGTTTTTATTTGGCAGGCAGGAACACCATTCAGCTTCTTTTTTCTTTTTTTTTTTCTATTCACTCTCACTTGGGATAGAAAATAAACCCAACCTGCTGTAGCTAATAAAAAGGGATTTTTAGAATGGCTGTGACTGCTTGTAAATTCATGAACCCGCCAGCTGTGTAGCCTCTGTTATTAACCTCCCTGTACAGAAAGCTTGACTCATGGTCTGTGTTATTCATTCATGTTCTTTTAACATTAACTTCTGTTGTGTAGAATCATATTACTAAAGCTGTCTCTTTTTTATTTTTATCCTAGGGTGAATTCTTTTCCAGCAAAATCGCAGCCAGAGGGGAAGGTCTGACCTCCTTCTTCTGCAATCAGAGACATGAGCGTTGTCAGAGAATTACATGGGATTGGGTACAGAGGCGGTGGAGGCGTCGTGGCTTCTATGAATGGCCCAACGCACTTCACCGAAGATGCCCCTCGGCCTCCTGTTCCTGGCGAGGAGGGGACTGATCTGGACCCTCCGATCCAGTCGGGCAACAGCCGTCCAAGCGCCCTTTCCCAAACCCAAGGATATCCCTCGTCTAAAATGGGAGACCCGTCGATTTACACGCCCTCCTCCTCGTCTGCGACCCCACGTCGCCCTGACCTGGACCTGGGCTACGAACCTGAGGGCTCGGCGTCTCCAACTCCCCCCTACCTGAAGTGGGCCGAGTCTCTACACTCTCTCCTGGATGATCAGGAAGGCACCCAGCTGTTCAGAAGCTTCCTATGCCAGGAAGGGTGTGAAGACCTTGTAGACTTTTGGTTTGCATGCTCAGGATTCAGGCAAACCAGCCAGGAGAAAAGGGCAAAGTTGGCCAAGGTGATCTACAGGAAATACATTGTGGATGGAAGCGGTATTGTCTCCAGGACGATCAAAGCAGCTACCAAGAGCTTCATCAGAGACTGCGTGGGAAAGCCTCACCTAGACCCTGCCATGTTCGAACAGGTGATTAAAACACTACAGAGTAGCCCTGCAAATAGTCCACATATGTATGTTAGTATTAGGGCTGCAAATAACGATTATTTTGATCATTGATTAATCTGTTGATTATTTTTTCGAATTAATCGATTCATCATCGGATAGCAAAAAGTTCCTTAGAGAAAATTCTATACAGAATTAAACCAGGTGAAACTAAAACTTTTCCACTTGTGGAGTTTTGGAAAGAGCGTATTGACAGATGAGAAAGATTTAGCTTAAATGCAAAATATTATATTTTTTTTCACAATTTTGGTATAATTACTGCTCTAAGTGGGTGGCTCTGTCAGCGAAAGGAATGTTTTAGAGTCTTTATCATGTTTACGATTAATGGATTACTAAATTAGTTGACGATTATTTCAAAAATCGATAAATCATCATTAATCTGATTAGCTGCTTCAGCCCTAGTTAGTATATTTGATATAATTTAATTAGTTAAAGAATAATATATTTTCTACTAGCTCGTGTTTGGAGAGTGCCCTGGTCAACAGGGGTTCTGGGTAGGGCTGCAACTAGTGATCATTTTGTAAATCGATTAACCTGTCGATTATTTTTTCGATTAATCAATTAATACTGGGAAAGCTAAAGGTTCCTTAAAGAAGACTTTAAATGAGATTAAAACCAAGTGAAACTAAAAGTTTCACACTTCAGGAGTTCAGGATAGAGATGTTGACATTTTTTTATCTTGAAAGCAAAATGTTTATATATTATTTTGCGATCTAAGTGGATTACTCTGTCAGCTAAAAGCATGTTTTAGAGTCTCTAAACTCCAGTTTAAGATTAATTGATTACTGAATTAGTTGATGATAATTTCAATAATGGATTAATCACGATTAATCCGATTGTTTCAGCCCTAGTTGTGGGCCTGTTTGGGTGTGAGTGGGTATGTCACCTAAGTTTGCCTCCTCATCACAGCTTTGTTCTGTGCTTTTCAAAAAAAGCCTGAGGATGAAAGGGGCTGATTAGCCAGGGTGTGCAAGTGTTTAAAAGTTTTGAAATACCAAGCTCTGCAGGTTTTATTGGTTTGAATAGGCGCAATGTATGAGCTTCAGATGCTAATGATGTGCTGGCAGGGAGGAAGTCACAGTATGTTCATCTGAAATAGCTGCAGAATGCACTTTATGAAGTTAGCCCGGTTTGTGTGCTACATTTTCTTCTGAGGAAAAAAAATGTCAGAGGGAACATTAAGACAAGAAACTGGGTCCCGGTTGTCTCCATAAGGGCTTTTTTGTTTGTAGTTTTTAGCAGACCTTATGCACCATCAGTTTAAACTTGTTAAAAAATATATTTGATTAATTGATTATTGAAATAATTGTCAACTAATTTAATAAACAATTGTTAACTGGAATTTAGAGACTGTAAAACATACCTTTAGATGACAGAGCAACCCAATCAGAGCTGTAATTATACCAAAATTATTTATAAAAAAAATATGTAAGCATATTGCATATAAGATAAAAAAATTCTATCCAGAACTCCTAGAGGGGAAAAGTTTTAGTTTCACCTGGTTTCATTTTGTAAAGTCTTCTTGAAGAAGTCTTCTTCCCATCTTTGGCAGAATTTAGAAAAACTGACTTATTCTAATTCTCTTAACATTTGGCATCCACAGCAGTCTTGGTACTCTGCTACACTTTTAAAAATGAGGCATTTCTAATTTACTGACCTTTGTTTCTGTTTGTTTCAGGTATATAATATATGCCTTTTGGCTGAATAAAACATAAACCTGAAATAAACAGATTGCAAATTTTCTTTAGTTTTAGAATATTCATTTAAATTGCAGATGTAAATTGTTGCTTATCACAACTTTAGGTTTGATTCTTGGTAAACTAGTGGAAGCACTCAGTTTGGTTGTCCTGATATAATCTGCTCTGTTCTGAATTTTGTTTTTCATCTAATGGATCAGTGTTTGCGTTCCCCAGTCTGAACTCTTGATGCACAGAGGATGCTTGAAGGCTTAAAGCATATCATCGATTAGTAAGCTTTGTTCAGCGTTGCTTCACTGACTGCAGGGACTTATGACGGTGCTGTTAGATATGTTTTTAATGTTGGACAAAGGGAGACACTTAAACCATTTTGCAGAAAGTGTCGGTTCAATTACTTGCATTCTGTCTGCTCTTGTTAAACCAAATCAATGTTTGTTGTCCCATGCCATTTGTAAATCCTCAGGTTTCCCACAGTTTACACACATAATCAGTAGATAGCGGTACCTGCTTCATAGCGAATTCAGATAATAAAATGCACTCCGTCTGTTTATTCTGTAATAAACCCATAACTCTAGCTTCATTTATCTCAGATTCCTCCTGGCTACAAAGGATAGAGAAAAACCAACAGGGACTCTCTTTAACTGTTGGCCTTTTGGGTGTCATTTTATTGTCTTCCCGTTAATTTGATCCTAAGGATGTGTTGTGCCTGAATGAACACTCTTATTTTCTGACGAGAAAAACTTTCAGTACTTTTATGAGGTTGAGCTTTGTAACATTGTACATCTGTTTCGATACTGCAGAGGTTTGCTCTGGAGTCATATTAGGTCCCAGTCTGACAGACAAAGAGCAGCTCTAGATGTAGACACCACCCATCGAGGATTAGAAGGATTCAGAAAAGGCTTTGGTGGGAAATCAAGTGTGAGAGATGAACACACTGCTTCCCAGGACCACGTGCCCAATGTGACATTATCACGCTCTGTATTGTCATCGACACATTCATCATAAATGTAATTTAAAGCTTCATGACTAAACATTTTTTAGCCTCACTTGGCCTCCTAACCTGAAACTATGTGAGCCCAGACAAACGCTTCACTGCTGTTTTCCCTGTTTTCACGTCATTGCCTGTTACATAATAGGGCTCGGCATGAATGGGCTTCAGACACAATTTACCTGATTTGATTTAAAGGAAACTGCACAAACACTGTTGTCTGCAAAGTCCTCCAAACACTGCTGATTCAATATTATTATATTATATAACTATAGTTTATGAAAATGGTTCTTTTTTACACTTTGGTTAATTTTTTCTCAAATGATCTGTCTGGGTCTTGTACCTGATTATGAAGCAATGTTTTTGAGCTATAAGGAAAATGAGAATGAAAATACTTTTTAATTGTTTATCTACAGCTTATTCAGAAAAGACCTCAGAAGTACAGAGAGGTAAACTATTCTCCAGATACTTTTTATTTCTTTAAGGCCCTTTTTTCTAACTTTATGGGTCTTTTTTAACACATTATTTATTGCATTTAAATACACGAGAACACGTTGTGCCTTCATAAGGACGGCTATAAACAAACCATAGAACTTTATTTCCCACCATATGTGGAATACAGACCTGTTGTACTGTTGTGATAATAAGAGCACCCATAAAAGCAATTTATTACTACTTTGCGGTGTTCTTTACGTACCTGTACGGCATAAACTGCATGTGACGACATCATCATAGCCTCATGAACACTTTCGCTTTTTTAGTACAGCAGTTTAAAAAAGTGATTTTCTTTCTTTCTTTTATGTGTTTATACATTATAAGAAGTCCTTTAGAAGCTGCATTTAATGTTTTCATTTTATTGATGGAAGTAACAGTGGATACAATAATGAAAACAAATCCTCAATACGGTCAGCTTTGTAAAAAATAGGATTTTAATCCTTTTCACTTGCAAAATTCTCACCATGATTCATTTATTAGGATATGGATAAATGAGACTGTAAATATCTACCCGTACTGTGTTTACACACTGGCTCATCCCTCAGATTTTATTCCTAAGGGATCAGCTTCTACACCAACAACAAATCAGAAGATTGCAATATGTGAGATAACAAAAAGAATCACTTAGACATAAGAGGAGCAAACACTTTGCTCTTTCCTTGCAATGTGCAAACAGTGCAAAAAAATAGCTGAAATAAATATTCCACTAACTATTTGTGCTTTACCAAAATCAAAGTTTTATAAACCTTTGTTCGTCGAAAATGTGTTTTATTAAAAAAAACAACTTCAGACAAGATTGTGAATGAATTCTATCTGTATTTTTGTGTAGGAACGCTAGTTTCTATAAAAACTTATAGTCACAGAACAACTTTAACGGTTGGGCTGGGCTTTAAAAAGTACAAAACAAGCAATATGCAGGATGTATTCTAAGGATAAACATCTGTGTTCCAGGCTAAGACAGAGATCCAAGCCATGATGGAGGAGAACACCTACCCTTTGTTCCTTAAATCTGATCTGTACCTGGAGTACACACGGACAGGAGGAGAGAGCCCCAAGCCTAATCCCAGTGATCAGAGTCCCTCATCAGGCCCAGCCAAGCCCCTGCCTGGCTACCTGCCAACTCTGGATGAGGGTGTGGTGTGGAGGTGAGATGAACTTTAACAGGCCACCCTTCACAGATGTGTTATGTCGTCATAAAACAGTAAATTCCCCGGATTCTGGTTGACCAGTCTGTTTTCAATGCAAAGTGGGTCGTTGATAATATTTCATTGACGTATTTTTCTACAATTTATCATTTTAAAATCACCAAAAACATCACAATAAACCTTCACATGAAACAACATGGTGGGAAAAGAGCTGTGCACCTTTTGTGAAATCTCCAATTTTTAAGACGTGCATTCATGTGTACTTCTTTTTCCTTCGACCATGTTGAGAGTAGCTTTATGGTGCAGTTACAGCTTGAGCATTTTCTAATCCAAAATGGCTCTACTTAGAAAAACAGATCTCCACCTTTGATACTGTCGCCAATTTACATTAACTTTCAGCTGCTATGAAACACAGCAGGAAATCCCAGAGAGCCTGGTCATCTTTAGTGAGCTTTTACTGGGGACTCCCAGCACCTCGTCAGAATGTTTAGGTCTGCTGCTCTTATCAGAACAGAATATTTCCATAGGATCATAATCCTGATGAATTGACTGCACAGGCGTAAACTTTCTAGCTTAAAAACATGTTAAAACTAAATTGTTTTTTTCCAACTTATCAATGCAAAAAAAGTCTTGCCATTCTCTTGTTTATAAGGAAAAGAATGGAACAGTTCAACGCCCAAAGTGTCGAGTGTCCGGATCATCCCCTGTCCAGAGCGTCTGACTTCATTGGATTCCTCTTTGATGCTTAAAAGGCATTTGGTGTGAACGCACCATAATGCTTTCCCTGCTTTAACCCTGACCTATCTGCTGTCCTCACCTGCACTAAAACTTTTTCCAGCATCATTAATATGAGATACCTGCAATGAAAGGGCTAACCAAGCCACTGTGCTGAAATTAGGCCAATAAGCTAAATTTAATTTGTAACGGCTTCAGAAGGTGAAATTTTAAACATATTTACCTCATTATTTATACGTACGGACTTTCCGCCCTGAGCCCCTCAGATTTCTATATCAGCTCAGCTTCAGCCTCTGCGGCGCTTGCAGGCAGGTGAACGCATGCACTCTCGCCCTGCCAGCAGACAGAGTGATGATCCCTAAACGGCGGATCTGTATGGCCAAATTGGCTGATGATCAGACTGTTTTGCTTTGGGTTTTCTTTTTACCAATAAAACACATCATAATTGCTGTGCCAGTCCGTAGTTTTTCAAAGTGCTTTACCAAAAAATCTAAGAAGGACATATAAGGAGATAACAGCTGATGAATCAAAATTACAGACTTTGCACCCCTCAAGATTTTTGTTCATAAAAGTTGGAACACCATGAATCGATTGGATTCCACCAAATGATTTGTTGAGCTTTGTCTTTGAGATAAAATTCCAGTCCTGACATGTATTTGTGAAAATGTTTCACAAGGTATCAGTTTGTAAGGCACTTTAGTTTATACTCAAAATGTGTTTAACACAGTGGTCAGGAAAGTTGCTTGTCTGAATGTGTTTACTTATTGTTTAGGGGTGGCAGTGGAGATCGAGAGGATGATGAAGAGAAAGATGAAGATTGTGGCGATACTCCTGTCAATAGACTGACCCAAAGTCTGCTGATGCAGACGGCGCCACAGAGAGCATCGTCCAGCAGGAGGAGGCAGGACAGCAGGGAGTACAGGTGTGTGGTTGTAGGCCTCGTTTCAAAGAGGAACTATAGTAACAACCCAAAGCTTGATTCCATCACTGTTAATTAATCCTCTTTAACCACTTAGATAAAAATGGTCACTCTTAGAAAATGTGTAAAAGCAATAGGTAGTGTATTGTAACTTTTATCAGCCAAAGAAGATGAGCAGATCTAAGAGCGATCAAATGTCCTGTCCTTCTCAGACCGTGGAGAGAGCCGGTAAACCCTTATTACGCAAACATGGGCTACGCCCGGGCTCCAGCGACCAGCGCCAATGACAGTGAGCAGCAGAGCATGTCCAGCGATGCAGACACGATGTCCTTGACCGACAGCAGTGTGTAAGAAATGCATTTCGTCTTCACCTCATCCAAACATTTTAGTCATTTTTCTCAGTTTTAAGACACTAAAGCAATATAACCCATCTGCTTTGCTCAGTTAAAACATATTTAATGCTTCTTTTTTTCTTTCTTTTACCCCCCCAGAGATGGTATTCCTCCTTACAGATATCGGAAGCAGCATCGGAAAGAGATGCAAGAAAGTGCCAAAGCCAATGGCCGTGTGCCCCTACCTCATATACCTGTGAGTGTATTACTGTATCATTCAACTCATTTTTCAAATAGATTTCTTTGCTAAATTAGACACCTGAAACTTATTTGCTTTCATATTTTGAGCATTTACTATAGCTCGCCTTAATCCTCAGAAGACATGGGTCAAATATTGATACAAGTGATTAAGGTTTATAAGACAAAACTTTTAAGGTTGTCTTCATGCTGTTTAAAACCAATTGAATGTGACCCAAAAATGTATGTTGTTTTATTTACAGACAAATTAGGAGAGAAAAGATAGCATGACTTAATAATTAACAGCCAATAATACCACTAGTGTTCTACTAATATGTAAATCCCACTCTTAAATGTATTAGGTGATGACTATATTAGCATTAAGATAACACCCTCTAGCATGTTATTGACATGGTTACACGGAGCAGTAGAAATGTGGTTCCTATAATATGAACCGTTTGTTTCCCCAAAGCGTGCGTATCAAATACCAAAGGACATCCACGTAAAGCCAGAGATGTTTGCAGCGGAGCTCATCAACAGGCTGGAGGCTGTTCTCAGAGAAAGAGAGGCCCAAGAAAGGCTTGAAGAACGGTTGAAGAGAGTACGACTGGTGAGTGTTCCCTTCATAAAGGCTTAATGGTTTAATTCCAACCATGTGCTATACCTTTAAGAAATCATAGATTGGCACTATGTGATAATTTCAGCATTCGTTTTATAGTGTTAGTTTCCACTGGGTTACATATGTGTGATATGGAAGTCATTCAATGTGTTTCATATGTCATGAAAATGATCAACCTTTAATGGTTCTAAAGGTCAAAAAGGACAATATAAGATGTTCAAGTCTCGGTAGTAAATATCTAGAGCAGCCATGAATGATGTGCAGCCAGTTTAACTAGTAAACTGGTTTCCTTGTAGCGCTCCTGAACACACCACACACAGGGCTCCTTCATGTGTAAAAACCTGCTGCAAGAAAAATGTTTGCGTGTGAGAAAAGGAGGCAGCATAAAGAATGTTAAGGTGTGGTATTGATAGTCCAGTGGCCTTTTTAGACAAATAAAATGTCTCTGAGTCAAAAGAGATTGATAAGAAAGAGACATCAAACAATCATGTTTTTTTTTAGCAAATATTCATCCTGGAGAGCAGAGTTATGAAGTTTGTCTCAGAATCTGATAAAAGGTTATTAAAGGTTAGAAAAGTCCGAGCTAATAAAAGACATTATTAGTCAATAAAAGATTATTTCCGGTTTTGTGAAGGAGTGAAGAATTTGGTTATAAGTTTAATGTAAAACACCATTTATTCTGATCTCTGTTCTGCTGCTTATTTAATCAACAGGGAAATATTTAAAACATTAAATAATTGTACTATATTTGTTAACAATCGATATAACCGCTGATAAACTAACGTCCAGATCAAATTGCACAGTATTAGTTTTAGGCCATCAAACACTGCTGGTCAAAGTGAATTTTTCTTTAGATTTAGATTTATTTATTCATTTGACAGGAACAGTGCACATTAATAAGCATTCTTGCAAATGCACCAGAATTATCCAAAAGGCTAGTTTTCATCTGTTGTCCCTGGATGGATCTTAAACTTGTCTACCTAAAAACAAAACAGTAAGAATTTTACAGGGAAAAATACAAATTTAAAAAGAAATAAAAACGGCTATAACTCTTCAAAACCTGTTTAAAAATACAGAATTAATGTTCGCCAGACTACAGATTTTAGGTTAATAAATAGAATAAAAAATTCAAATAAAATAATTAGTGGATGGGAGGAGATGACAGACCATAGAATATTTTATAAAACAGACAGGTTTGCATACTTGATGACATTTTCCCAGCTCATAAGCTCATGTTTTAGTAAAATGGCACAATGGTGATATTTTGATGGTTTTGGTATCATTTTATTGGCCTGTGACCAGGTTGTAAAACCGTTCAGGGATGCGGGACAGAACCATACTGTACATGAACATTTTAGCTGCCTGGAGTGACAAGTGTGATCTTATGAAATGGAAATTTGTAATATTGAATTTTGACTCTATTGCACACCTTTTTTTTTATCTGGGATTTAAAAGTTACTTATGATGCTTAGGGAATTTGAATTCTGACACAATTTTGTGTCACATAAATATCTTACTCATGATTTGGACTCTTGGATTTAAAAAAGCACACTGAAGCAGTTTTATTTACATTAAGTTTTAAGCAGGACTGATTCAGCCATTCAGAGACTTGGACCATAGACTGTTTGTTTTTCAGCAACTTGTTTTGTGTTTTTAACATGGGTATAAATCACAGTATCAGCTGCGTACATCTGGATACAGACATCTGAACAAACTGAGGGGAGGTCGTTTATATAGAGAGAAAATAACAGAGGCCCCAAGATAGAACCATGAGGTACCCCTGTGGACATGACGAGAGGCAGTGAGAGATGATCACTGATCCTGACTGTGATCGATTTAAAAGATATGATTCTATCCATTTAATCTGATCTGAGGAGAGGTTAAATTTGCTTAGTTTGGTTAATAATATTTTATGGTTTATAGTGTCAAAGGCTTTTTTTAGATCGTGAAACACAGCTCCAACCAAACCACCTTTATCCAGTAAATGTTTGATATTTTCTATGAAAGATAAATGAGCAGTTTCCGAGGAGTGTTGAGTTCTGAAACCAAATTGCATTGAATGAAGGGGAAATGCTGTGGTATTTAAATGTGTTATTTGTTGGGCAATCAGATTTTCTGCAACTTTTGACACGGTAGGTAAGATTCGGATTGGTCTGTAATTGTCCACTGACAGTGGATCTCCATTTTTGAAGATTGGAACTACAGCAACTGACTTTCACACACTTGGACGTACTGCCTCAATAATGGAGATTGGCAATTCGGGTTACTGGTGTTGATAACATGGAACTGGGTTCTTTCAGCATGCACATATCTATGCCAAGTATGTCTCTAGTTCTAGAAGCTTTGTGTCATTGTTTATAAGACTTGAGATTCTGTGACTGTGGGTTGAAGATTGGCTCAAAATTATTTGTCAAGCTGATATTTAGATTGTTAGCAGGGAAGCTTTGGGCAATACAGATTAATTTGAACATTTGTTCTCTGTTTTATACAGGAAGAAGAAGGGGATGATGCTGACGTCTCCGTGACAACCTCCATGTCCTCTCACAGTATACCACTCTCCCTCCCCTCATCGTTTCCTCCTCTCTACGGTGCCCGTTATTCAGAGACCACTGCCAACACAGGAACAGCCGCCACTTACGGCGGCCTGGTTGCCATGGAGGACCCTCACGAAGATGACCCAGAGTCTATTTTAGATGAGCACGTGCAGCGGGTGATGAAGACGCCGGTCTGCCAGTCACCAGGGGCTACCAACAGCAGCTTAGGAGGAGGAGGACGACACACTCCCCCCAAGTCATCCCGCTCACCAGACGGTGGAATCGGGCCACCTCACTACCCCTCGCACAGAGGCGGGGGGCACAGTCTGCCAGCTGTGGGGGCTAAAGGTAGCTCATTCAGAGGTCCTACACATTTTCCATGTTAACACTCACTACCTTTCTAGAATCAGATTCCTAAATGTTGTGCTTTTCTATCATCTTCATCCCAAAACTGGTATGAAATTATGAATCGCAAACTATTTTCTACAGGGTACATTATTTCAGTCTAGATTTTGAAACATTTTTCCATTCTCAGTTTTTTTTTTCCCTCAGGTTATTTTAAATACCAAGACTCCTGATCACTTTATTTGAAACGTGTTTTCATTTATGCCAACAATCAACAAACAACACCATTTGCTGTGTTGTTAATTCCTGTAAGGAAGTCCCTCATAGTTGGGCTGAAGTGCATGGAACCCATTTGATGTGTCTAATCTATGGGCGTAGATTTGCATAAGGACATGTCCCTACCAACATTTTGGATCGACTTAATTGACCCTACCAATAATTTGATGTGAACAACATGTTTATAACTTCCGATACAGCATGATTGCAGCAGTGGCTTCTTTTCCTCTTGCAGCTCCTCTGCCTGGTAGCTGCAGACAGAGGAAAACTAATTATTCTTAGTCAGACAGGGGTTCTGAAAACTGCTGTTAAAATGAACAAAGACTGTAAACTATCAACATCTCTGATCCCTTTCACTAATATTTCTTTGCTGTTGCTGTTTTCATTTTTGATGGCAGATCAGGTATATATAACAGGTGGTATTTATAATGTAGAACATAACATGAGATGGATGCTAAAGATCTGCTTTCCACATTAAAAAAATAGTGCTATTTAATTGACTTCTACTTCTAGAAATAGTATAAAGACAAAAAGAGGAACTCTATTTACAATGATTTAATTTTTCTAGATTGTATACACAGTTCATAAGTAAACTAGAAGAAACATTAATGTCTGGTAAATAATGCTTGAATCTGGCTGTTTATTTTGGATATTATTACATTACAGATAAGATTGTGTTATATTGTCTTTTATTATTGTTAAAACGTATTTTATATTTGAATAAACTTGTTTCTTAGTGTTGTGTTTGTAGATGATGCCACTACAAAAGAAAATAGACACAAGGAGCTATTTAAACAGCCAGACAGTAAGCAATATAGGATGATGATAAAAGGTTATGTTACATTTAACCCTTTATTATTAAAAATGCATTTGTATAATAGAAACATTATGTTATTGTAGGAAACCCAGATATACGGTAATGATGCAGGTTAGCCTCAAGGTGAAGCAGCTGCCCTTCAGTGCTGTATTATGGAAGAAATGTATTTGGAATGTTACCATAAAATTAGGGCTGCAACCAATGATTATTTTGCAAATTGATTAATCTGTCTATTATGTTTTTGATTAATCAATTGATAATTAGATAGCATGCAAACCTTTTCAAAGTGGAAAAAGTTCTAATTCCACATACGTCAGAGCCAGTTTAAACATTGATAAACAGCATCTGGTGTGCGTATAGTGCTTATGAAATTTGTATTAATGTAGCAAGAAATGCTGCTGTTCTCTTTAAACAAAAGGTGCCCTGATGCTCACATTAAGCATAAAAAAGAGCATGCATATTTTTGCATAGGACCAATGACATCAGACCAATGAAACTGAAGACCAATAGTGTCCATACCAAAGTTGAAATCAAACCTACGCCCTTGGTCTAATCACTGAGGTCTGCTCTGGTTTTATTTCAGGCGTTTACCATCATAAGCAGGTATACCACCACAGAGGAAGAGATGGTCAGGAGGAGGTGGGAAGTCGGCCTCTGCCCAACTTCCTCTGGAACGGAGACCAAGCCAACCAATACGCAGGTCGGAGGAACTACGCAGACGGAGCTGGAGCCAGCACTCTTGAGGGCATTGGTTACAGGTATGTATGAAATTGTGATCATCCCCCTAAAAATGTCAGTTTGAATTTATTAAATTAACCTCAGAGTTGTTTGTTGTATTATCTCTGCAGTAGCAAAGGCAGCACAATGTCCCGACGGGGTAATAAGAAGACAGAAACATCGAGCAAAGGTGACGATAGTGGGCGTGGCCTGGAAACCCAGGCATATCCAGGTACTCAGGTGGAGGATCTGGAGAGAAACCAGAAGATTCTGCAGTGGATGATGGATGGAGACAGGCAAAGGAAGAGTTCTCATGGGTGAGGAAAACCTGGGATCAACTAAACAACATTTTTGTTTTCTTCTTAAGTTTATTCTTTTGTAGCTAGGTTTCAAGAGCAGATATTCACCTTGTTGAAAGTACAAAGAAGACTTTAACCAATGAATGTTCTCCTCTTTCATACACTCAGTGGCAGCACCAGCAGTTCCAGGAGAACAGGAACCAGCACCGACTCTCGTCCGACTTCTGTTGAGCGACCTGGAGCTGTGCACCCCTGGGTCTCCGCTCAACTGCGTAACAACTCCTCCTCAGTGTCGGCAGCGATCCCCGGCTCATCATCCACTCAGGTTCAGCCGTCACATCCTTTCATCCAGGACCCGGCTATGCCACCCAACCCTGCTCCCAACCCCCTCACGCAGCTGGAGGAGGCTAGAAGGAGGCTGGAGGAGGAAAGGAGAAGGGCTGCTCTACTACAGGCCAAGCAGAAGTACGAGTCTTCTTTTATTTTGAAATCAGTTTTGCTTGAGATCCTTATATGTTTGTGTTTAACGAGGATTTTCCCCTTTTCTGTTAGACACAAGTCTGGGAAGCGTCAGGTGTGCGAGAACATGACCGTAGCGTACTACTTCTGTGGAGAGCCGATCCCATACCGGACATCAGTGAAGGGCCGTGTGGTGACTCTGGGCCAGTTTAAAGAGCTGCTTACCAAAAAGGGCCACTACAGGTGAGAATCCATGGCTACCTTAAGAAGTGATAGAGAGACTGGTGGTTATGCTGACACTCAAAGAATAAAACCCAGCACATCAAAAATCCTTTTAGAATTAAATTGATTTATAAATCTTATATATTTATGTCATTTGATATTGATATTAATACATATTTGTAATGATTTAGATTAGTGAACATACAGCATGAAGACCAACTACACAAATTAGACCTACAGCTTACCTAAGGCCATCCTACATGCTCCTCCCCATTTTCACTTACTGGTGGTGAGTCTGACATAGTAGAAAAATCTTCTTTTGGAAAGTAAGCTTGTATGAGTGATGCAAACTACAAATTTTAAACAGAGCGTGCATGAGGAGAAATGGGCACATGCATGCTCTTGCACGCATCATCTCGGGAGCGGGGTACAGGGTTGTGCTTGTGTATTTTAGTTCCTATGCTCCAATTATCTGGAACAAACTTCCAGAAAACTGTAAAAGTGTGGAAGCCTTAGTTCCTTTAAATCAAGACTAAAAACACATTTGTTTAGGATTGCCTTCAACTGTTCTAGTTAAACAGTTCAACTGAAACATCATTAGTTCAACTCTTTTATTTTCTTGAGTCCAACTGTTTTTAATGTTCTTTTTTGTTTCTGCATTTTTTTATTTTTATCTTTTTATACTTGCTTTGATTCTGTTTTATCTTCCTGTATTTTAATCATGTAAAGCACTTTGCATTGTCTTTGTACTGAACTGTGCTATACAAATAAATTTGCCTTGTCTTGCCTTTAAGTGGAGAGGAACACACTATTCCTAGGTTTGCGAAAATCGTCTATTATTTAAGGCATGTTTGTGTCAGAAAATTGGCGGCAGAGTCCTGACTCAGTTCCCCCATAAAATCTGTCTGATCACTGATGCTTCACTGCCCCTCTGATGAAGCTTCAGTTATTTTATACAAATTATAACCTACAAAGAGTTTGAGTCTGCCGGTGTACAAAGCTGGTGAAGCATTCCCTAAAACTGCAAGGTTGGTTCTGTTTAGATGTTAATTTGTAGAAAGGAAAATTAATCAGTGCATAAGGTCTCCTCCTATTCTGTGCTTTCTGGTCCCTCCTGTTAGTCTCTTATATAAACCCATTAAAATGAAATAATTTTTTCAGTTTCCCTCTTTAAGATGTTCTAAAGCCTTATTGTTGGTGTTGATTCTTCAGAAGCACTAACTGACTTTGTTCTCTGACTGCTATCTTTAGGTTCTACTTTAAGAAAGTAAGTGATGAATTCGACTGTGGGGTTGTGTTCGAGGAGGTCCGCGACGATGATGCGATTCTGCCCATCTTTGAGGAGAAGATTGTTGGGAAGGTGGAGAAGGTCGATTGAAAGTCGGGAACAGAAAACGGAAGAGAAGAGTTTGCAACAAGGAGATACAAGGAAAACTTTCAGGTTGGAGAAATGGAATGACCTGCGAGGAGTCGAGAAATATCTGCAAGTAGAAGGACGGAGGAGCGGTGCGTCAGATGGGAGAAAAAGGCTGCATTGGAGAACGATAGGTTTTTCGTGGATAAATAAATACCTGCCTGGAATCAAAACATAAAGGAAAAAAAAGCTCGGTCAGATGATGCTGGAATGGAAGAAAGAACAAAATATTTTCCCTGTGCTGTTCTCAACGGATCAACAAGGAGTGTTGTAAAATATGTCTGAGCAGTCTTTTTCTGCAACGAATGGAAGGGGTTGAGGGGACTTCTGGAAGAAAGGAGGATACGAGTAGTCTTCCACTTCTGCTCTGGAGGAGGCTGTCCTCTTCAGACCATTACAATGCTGCTACATTACCACAGAACACTTCATACGGTGCTCGGGACAGTGAAGACGGCAGGTTCCTTCCTTTCAGTATCCGAGCCGCCTCTCGCTGTCTCTGTTCCTCATCAGCTGGGGACCGGTGGGAGAGGTCGGATAAAAGCTGGGAACCTTTTATTTTTTATTTTTTTGCCTGCTTCTCGTTTTGTTGCCTTTATAGCCTCAGAACAGAGAGACGTACTCACCGTCACACGGCCCAATGTGCTACACACTGATCTCTCACATCCTTTTGTTCAGACGACAGTTCTCTTCGTAACTTGTTTACCAAAGCTACATATTTTTGATAGGACAAGTATTCTAGCTACTTGTTATCATTTCATTTGATTTGTATATGAACAAGGCAGGTACTATTACTTATTTACTGCATTTTTTGTCATATCTCACTTTATCTTGTATTCTTGTGTATGATTTAAAAATGGCTCATCGGTCACGTCGAAGCGTCACGTTGAGTTTCTCATCTCTAAACACCCCCCCCTCCTTTATGCTCACACAAACAGTAGGTCAGATTCTCTCTTTTTTTCACTATGGTGATTCACAAACTAATTTTTATTCCCCCTCCCTTTTAGAAATGCCTCTGCATGTTTTCCCTGCTCACCAGTTAGTCATCCAGTGTTTGCACTCTATCACAGCTGAACAGCACCTGTTTTGTGTGAGGTATGTTATGGTGAACAGGTAGCAGGCATCCTCAGTCTATTTAGGTCCTTAAATTCTGGTTCCTGAGAAAGTTTGCAGAGTTCTACTCATTACTGTGTTTACAGGTCTTCACATGAAGCTGCCTTTTATTTATCCACTCACCACTGGGCTGTTTCTAGGTGCCTGCCTGGTCAGTGCCGATGCTCTCATAAAAAGCTTATTTTCATCCTATTCAAGGTTATTTTTGACTTGTTTGTAAACTCTGCCAAAGAACACGCCCTATGAGCCTATATTAGTGTCCAATAATAATCTTTCTTTTGCAATGAGCTTAAGGGAATGCTTACCTAAAACAATTGCCTTCTAATAATTAACTTGAATCAGAGATGCACCAATCAGTTATTGGGATTTGTTTCAACCTCTAATATTTGTCATTTTTAAATTTGATCTGCCATAATTGATTTTAACCAATTCGGACCTCTCTTTAAAACATTTATTTACAAGTTATCCGTTTTCTTCTTTTTTTTTATTTTTATGAGCAGTCATTTATTATTTTTGCTGAAGTGTTGAGGTGTTTCCACTGTGTGTGAGAGTATGACGTCCAAATAAGATAGTCTTACTTTTTAATGCATGGCACACGATCAGAGAGAACTGGCCCTAGCTTGCTTTATTAAGGATAAGCTGGTTCCTGCCCAGCCCAGGGGTCTGCAACCTGTGGCACCTTAAACCCTCTGCTCTGGTAATTAATAATTTGTCCTATATTACTAGTTTTAGCTATTATTCCTGGATGATTTTCCTCTGAAGTCTCTAGTAATAGGTAATAAACTGTCTTTTGGTGCTTTTGTGGCTCTTAAAAGTTTCTTTATCTGGAGCCAAGGCAGTAATGACTGATAGGGTTGTAAAGGTTGCTGACCCCTTGTCTAGGCTTGTAAACCTTTATGCTTACCGCCTCTGTGAGTTCTCACTGACGCACTTTGGCGCCGGTGAACTGTTTCCGACGTAGCATCAAATGTTGGATGAGGATAAGGCAGGCTATGTCAGACTACCAGCCGGTTAAAACCTACCTGAGGGCCATTTTTAATGTAGTTTTCTTTTGGATTTGAGTAATTTAAGATTAAGGCCGGGCTTTAAAATCATCCGATTTCTGTAGTTCAACTGAATCTAACATTTACTGGATGAGATGCTATATGTGACTCAGGTTGTGGAAACCCAAACTTTTTAATTACAACAAATCAAATTTCTAAAATGCTGCTGACATTTCCAGATCATTTCCACATGCAGGTTGGAAGCACAAAAAGCAAACACATGGCGACTGTGCTTTGGTATGTTTAACATTCTTGTTAGCTGCTATAATCTCACTCCCCATTTAATATAAAAACGCTTAAGATGTTCTCTCCATTTATCACCCCGAATAGAAATTAATTTGTGTTGAGTTTTCCTCGCTGTACTACTTTTCCTGAAGGGTGTTGCTGTGGTGAATTCATATATTTTAGACCCAGTCAAGCTAAAAAAACAAACGGGCAGATTTTTGGTGCATCTCTTGTTTAAAATCTCCAATTTGTCATTAAGATATGTTTGAACTCTTTCTTAACCTTTGATAACGATGTTTATCCAACGCTCAAAACTAAAAAGTACACATGAATCCGAAGCAGCTTCCAGTGTACAGAAACGAAAAAATAAAATAAAAAATATTTATTCAGGATTCATGAAGCTAGGTTTGCACCTTAGAGTATTTACTACTTTTTGATCCAGTTGTCTCTATAAAAGGGTAGTCCATGACAGTTTCCTGTGTAAAAATGGTCTGACAAAGAGAAATGGCACAAAATAAATAAATATTCTTTAATCTGGGTCTAGCACATGTTTTACTTTTTTATGGTTTAAATGTAAGCTAAAAGGGAAAACGTGGGAGTTAAATGAATTAAAACCAGATGAGCTGTTTACAGTAATAAATCTAATCCCTGCTAACCTACCGTAGGTTCTGGCTTCATGTTTAATTGACATACATGCAGAAAGTGCTTGAATCTTGTCATATAATCACTGTCACTAAAGTAGAAAAAGCACATTTTAATCTCCCTGGCCATCAACAGTTTGCATTAGTTGTACTTTACAGCAGTAGAGCCTCAGTGCCAGCTGGTTAACTGAGACAAACCAGCTATTTGAGCTGAATGTATTTTTATTTTATGTCCCCCCCGTTTCCTTAAAGAAATCATCTACGTCATGTCTCCTGTGTCGGTTGGATTCAGATTGAATGTCTCCATCAAACAGTTTCTGTTGGAAAATATAGAACATTGTGTTGAAAATCTGGAAACTTAAAATCCCCCCCATGCCTTTAGAGGAAAAAATAAATCTAGATATGTATTTGTTTATTTAAAAAAAAAAACCTTAATAATTACTCAGCATGTTGTTTTATAAGGAATGTTTTTGAATGAATTATCTATTTTTATTGTTTTTTTGCAAACTGCTTTGGCCCATCTTGTTTTAACCTTAGTTATAGACAGATGAATGGTAACTATTTTCAAATTGTTTTTTTGTTGCTGATTTAGTTTTAAAATCACAGCAAGAACACAGTCTACAGCATTGGGGATTTGTGTAAAACACAGTGCCTTTTATCATGTTTTCTTAACCAATTCATGTTTTTAATGTAAATTTAGTCATGAGTCACTACCTGTGTGTTCGTGTGTTTCCTTTATTTTTTTTCCTTTGAAGCTGCCGCATTGCAACCCCCCCCCCCCCCCCCCCCCCCCCCCCCTCTCTGTTCAGATCAACCCTGTGCTGTAAATATGTACATTATCATTTCATACGTGTTCTCACACCTGCACCACATTGTCCATGGTGATCCTAGTTCTTCTTTTGTTTTGGTTTTTATTTCTAATGCCAAGATGTCCCTGTGCTGGTTCCACTTGTACATTTCTTTTAAAAAAAGGTACTTCGTAATAAAGATGTTGAGTAAACCTCTTTTTGTCTGCATTATATTTTAAGCAGAACTTTACAGATTTCCTCTTTGAATGGCTTAGGTCTACTTCTTATATATGATATGTGCCACCTTTAATGTTTGCTTAAATTGAATTAACAGCTTAAGACCATTTATTTTTATGTATGATTATTTTCTAACAGTATGATTTGATTACATCTCGATAAATAGACTTGGATTATTTTAGTAACTAAAAGGAGCTTCTTAATAGAGAGTGGTATATTTGATCATTATGATGAAAACCAATTTCTATTAATTCTATGAAGGTTTTCATAGAATAAATTGATTACAATATTAAATTGTGGCCTCAGAAACTGTCTCAGTACTGTAGTGAATTGACTTGATGTCCTTTTCAATAAATTTCTGCATCAATACAGTGGGGCAGAATGATACTGTGGTCAATAAAACAGGTACTGATACTTTTGGCAGTCTGAGCAGGTGCCAAGCAGATACTGTTGGAGGAGGGAAGTGTACTGCCTGGACATGATCACACATAATAGGACCAAGACCAGCAGATTCCACGGATCCTATCACTGATAGCAGATGGATCAAAATGTATTCCAAAAGTTTACTTCTCTACTCAGCCCTGTTATAATCTGATGGTGATGGTTATTTTCCATCATTGCAGGGAAACAGGAAGTCTATTGGTTGTCTCTAGATTGTTTAGACTGAAATTTATCTATGGCACTGCAACAGAACCATAAATATTTACTGACAAAAGAAAAATATTCAAATAGTCCATTAGATCTGTGAATTTGAAAAGCACTGTTTTTAATTAAGTGTATCATTAGATGTTACAATTTAATATTTAGAATCTATTTTGGCAAAGTTGATGTTTTATTACAAAAAGCTTTCTAATCAGTTAGATGCATGAGGCTCAAGTTTGGCTGATTTAGCCTACCTTTTGAAAATCACAACCTTAAAGTATGAAAAAAAAAAACTACTACTGTTCTGATGTGATATCATTTTAGATGTTGCTTTTTTCATTTGTAGTAAGTAGAAAATCCCTTATAATTATAAGAAACAAATTATTTAAAGCATCAGAATCAGCATTACTTTATTAATTCCTTGGGGGAAATTATTTTCTTGCAGTGCAACCATTTACAGAAAAATAATAAAAATAAGATTGTAAGTACAACAGAAATAGGACAATAGAACAACATAAAATAAGTAAAATTACAACCCGCACAGTAAAATTACATCCTTCTCATATAAACCGTGTAAAATAAGATATAATAAAATAAGCATTTATAAAACAGAATGTATAGACCCATCTGTTTTACCATCGATAAAGTAATTTAAAAAATACAAAGAGCAAAAAAAATGGTTTAAGATTTCTAGAAAATATAAAGGTCTCCATTGGCCTCTTTGCTATGATGTGTTTGACTCTGCTGCTTCCTCTTCTTTTTTTATGGCCGTTGGCAAAAAACTTATTGATGCGCATTACCGCCATCTACTGGAATGGAGTGTGGATCTGGATGATTCTACTGCGACTGAGAACATGTTCATAGCTGCTCCAGTGCTCTTGAGCACCCCCTTGTGGAGATTAATTTTCCAAACACACGTACGACGTAAGGTCAAAGTTGAACTATGACGTACACCAATACTAATTGAAGAGCTATCAGTAGCGTCTTTTTGTGTGGTTGTTTCGTGACTAATTTGAGCAAAAATGTTGTTTAATTTCTAGCCAAGATCAATAACAACAACAACTGCTTCTTCAAAGCGTTTGTGTTTAACTAGTCGACTATGTCAGTTAATTAGCGTGTTAGCAAAGAACACGCAGCGTTAGCTCAACTATGGACGCGCTGAGCATCGTTGCGGATGAAGTGGCGTTGGAGGGACTGGAGGGAATAACCCTCCCTTCTCTTTGGATTCGCCTGGAGGACAGAAAGCCAAAGTTCCCGCTGAAGCTCGACGACTGCACCAAAGGTTTCATCTGGAGGTCCCTCGCTAGCAACGCCGAGCTGAGCTTCTACGAACTGCCTGTGGAGAGAGAAGACGTGGAGCTGTTTGACAGGTGACCGTTAACCCTTCCTGCTAACCCAACATATCCGATCAATATTCCTAAATAAGTTCTGCAATTAACTCATAGACGACCAGTCCGTTTATTTTTTTTTTTTTTTATTTTCATAGAAACAGTTAAATCAATTTATAAAACTTATGGGGTACTTTACCCTTAGAAGAAAACAAAAGCACATAAGCATTAATGATGCTCCGATTTAAAGCATAAGCATCAGAATTAAATATACGCCAAGATAAATAAAAAATTAATATAGAGCTATAAAAATTTAAAAGTTATCGTGCATCATACAGTTCCTTGTCTGAAGGCAACCTTAATGATGACAGTTTGTGAAAAGGGAGCAAATAGCAGCTTCCTCTTCAACTCCAATTTCTTTGAAAAAGTATTTGGGAAACAAGGTTTCTCATTAATGCAGGAAAACTGGAATCATCTGGCTACTGCAGCCACGATGACTGAATTAATTCCTTTTCCCAGTTTTTGGCAGATGGAGATTAAGGACTCATCCCTAAAGATGACTGTAATAAAATAATAAAAAGTTTACTTATGCATGTGTTGATGTGAACGGTGGTCCACTTCTGACTCTCCCCTTTATAATTTTAATCTCTATTTTAATTTGTTGTTAAGTTTTGCTTTGGACTTACATATTTATTTAAAGTGTTGGCTCTGATTTGAGGTTTTTCATCTTCGTCTTTCTCAGTCTACCTTGATGATTTTGTGTCTCGAGTTGCAACCTTCCTGTTTGTTTTTACATTACTCTAAAGGTTCTAAAGGTACTTTAACACCGTTGTTTCATGTTAGCAGGGTAGGACATAAAACAATTGTGTTAAAGTAAGTAAATATGATTAATATATATGCCAAAAGCGGATACATAATTTTTTTCAGTGTAATATGACTTGATCAAGTCTTTTTTAACATTCTACAGTATAAAATAAGTTGCTTGTATGAGTAAGCAGCTTGTATGGGTCGTGTTCATCACCCATCAACTTCCCCACTGCATGATACACCTATCAGTAGTGATGGTGAGATGAAGCCTCATGAGGCATTGAACCGTTTGGCCAAATTCCTTCAACGATCCCCACAGTTCACGAGGCTTCATGTGAACATGTCTCCACCTACTGGTGGAGTGCAGAACTACAGTTTGTAATAAAATCTGTGATATTTTTTTTTTTTGCAACTGTTTTTCTTTTTTCCCCCTTTTAAGTTCCCTTGAAATTATTAATGGTTGGTGTGTATAATACAATCTTTTGTAAGTTTTTTTATGTGTAAAATTTCTTAGAACAATAATTTAAGGTGAACCGTTTTTCTGCCATTTTAGTGAAATAAACTCAAGCAGACAGTGACAGTGTTTGTGCAAATTGGGTAATGATGAGCAAAATGAAAGGTGTTAGTCATTTTTATTCAAACATGATAGTTTTTCCACGTTTTTTGGTTTTAATCAGGTTGGAAGTTGTGTTCAACCAATCGTTTGGCTGCACCGACCTAATTTACCCAATCTATATTTTTACTCGGGCAAAACAATGCATATTAGTCTCATCAGCCAAAAGAATTAAGTTTAAGCAAAATTTTCAAAAGTCAAAGACAGGTCTTGAACCATCAACCTCGAAAGTGGGAGCCTGACTCTTACAGCTGAGGCTGTTTAGATGCCTTTCAAAATTCTTGTGCATTCTGAACCATCTCCCGAGACTGTCACGTGGTATCATGGTAGCGAGGCCTCGGACGTCATCAATTTTGGCCCCTCCTCTAAATGAATCATGCCTCGACACGCGCTTCGGGGAAACGCCCCCTCCATTACTCGACACACGCCATGAAGCCTCGGCTCATCTCATAACATCACTACCTATCACTTTGTCTCACCTGGTGGTTATAAAGTGATTTATGCTCCTGTTGTTAAAATAAAACATTCAGTATTTTAGCAAATATTCTATATTTGGAGCTAAAACTCCAAACCCAGCAGAGCAACTTTCCCAATTAAAGGCTGGTATTTAAATGTTAAAGCTACACATAACCCTTGGAGTTATCTTACCTTTTTTATGTTTTGTGTCATTCAGGTTTATCAACATCGACCCAGAGACGGGCTTTGAAATAAAACACAAATTCATCCCTGAGAAAATGAATATCTATCCTGCTAGTATCATTCCTGAGAATAAGGATGGAATTCAAGGCTCGTGTGTCTTCTTCAAAGAGAGGAAGGATGTCACCGAGCATGTCCGCTGCAAGTCTCTCACCCCGCTGGTTAGCATACAGGAAGCGATGGAAAAGTTAGTAAAGTTTGATTCTGAAATGATCATGATTTCAAAGTAATTGCTTCCTCAGGCTGAGGATTATTTCACGCTCGCATTGAGTGTGGTTCTGCTATAGGATCCGAATGAGATGGTGTTCTTGCATTAAAGGAATAGTACGCCCAAAACATAATTAGCCTTCATTTTCTACTCACCCCCATGCTGAACAACACTCTGGAGTACTTTTTTGATATCTCAAATGCATCTGGAGATCTGGGAGGCTTCTTGCTGTCTGCTGACATTCAAATAATGGAGGTCTATGGTGACCGAGACAGAAAGGTCCATAAAAGTCCACAAAAAACGTGTCAATATTCCTCCATACTGCTCGTCCAATGTATTCCAAGTGTCCTGAGTGGGCGCACTTTCATCTGGTTTGGTCTGCCGGCTTCCGTAGCGTCATGAGCGCGCTTTCAGGAAATCCTATACACTACTGTTTATGCTCTAAAAACATTCTAAATGACTTTGTTTCGAGTAAATTCTGGATGCTACCCACTCAGGACACTTGGAATACATTGGACGAGCAGTATGGAGGAATATTGACACGTTTTTTGTGGACTTTTATGGACCTTTCTGTCTCGGTCACCATAGACCTCCATTATTTGAATGTCAGCAGACAGCAAGAAGCCTCCCAGATCTCCAGATGCATTTGAGATATCAAAAAAGTACTCCAGAGTGTTGTTCAGCATGGGGGTGAGTAGAAAATGAAGGCTAATCATGTTTTGGGTGTACTATTCCTTTAATCAGCTTGTCTTGTCTCTTTCTTGCATATTTTTTATTTTTTTTTTTTACCTGTGTTCTATTTGAAACTAGGATTGAATTGTAACATATTCATTTCACTTGAATTATATAATTTGTCTTGCAAAGTGGTTTTTGATGACATAAGTTAAAAAGTGTGTGATATAACCAAACTATTTATAATGAATTTCAAATTCATAAAGTATTCAGATTTCTCAGAAATGCAATGCAGCTGTTTTAATCATTTTCTTGACCTGGTTCATCGCTCTTCCCTCCAGATATGGACGGAAACTTGTAGTCGTTGCATCTCAGGCTCTGAGATTCCGAACTCTGATCGGGAGCGGGACCGATCCTGACCTAAAACTCAGTAACGAGTCGTTCTGCCTGCTTGAGCGGATCGGCCGTGGACGTTGGCAGGGAGAACTACAGAGTGATCTGCATACAACCCTTTTCAAGTAGGAGACAACGCCAGCTGCCTTTTGCTGTGACCTACAAGAGTTGTTTCAATCTTTACACTGTAACAAGCTATTGATTCTTAACAGGATAGACCCACGGACGATGCACTATTTCAGGAAGTCTCTTGTCAAGCATGACCTGATCACCATGCAGTCTTATATCAGACGGCTGACGACAGGACAGCAGCAGCACACCATTCTCCTCCTGCTGAAACGTTTCCATGTAAACAGGTCGGCTTAGTTATTTATTTCTGTGAAGTTTTGGGCTCTGATTTGCTGTACTTTTTCAACTGAAGCAGATTTATAAGTTTAGTGCCCAAATATATCAGTCTTTCTACCAATTACAAGAGCAAGAGTTGAAGAGTTATCAGCATCACTGCTAAGTCATTATATAACAGGGATATAATAACTGCCCAAACCACTGGTATTTTGGTTATTTTAATTATTTTTAATGATTGCCTTTAATCTTTTGTCATTTGGAACACATATATGCTTTTACTCATGATTTTACATAGATGCTCCATATAGGTAATTCCAGTTTACCTAAAATGATTTCAGCAGTGAAAAAAGTGGGGGAAAAAAATAAAATGAAATAAAAAAAATGAAGAGAGCTGTACTTAACAAAATATCTTTTTGTTTACCCTTGTGTGTACAAAATGACAAAATATTATCTAAGTCAAAGTCTTTAAAAAAAAAAAAGATTTTTAGTTGTATTTTCAAAAATTTTCAAAAAGTGTGCTGTATTTTGGCTAACTCCATGTTTTCTTTTCCTTATCAGTGTTGAAGTGTCTGAATTCATTTAGAAACAAGATAATTCTATCAAAGTGTTTATGCTTTGCTCTTAACTCCACCACATAAAACATAAAAATCTAAATACTTCAATATTAAAAAAATCCACATAGATTGTTACTAAGGCATCATTTTTCCTTCTTTTTATAAGCTAAAACTGGGTCACTTCAGAGCTTTCTGATCTGTAGATCTAAAAAAAATTTGGATATTAAACCGGACCTTTAGTTCTGATGTGAGATCCATGTCAGGAAGAATAAAATAGTGTTTTTTCTTACAATATGAAGTTATTATAAATATAAATCTAGATTTTCAAATTCTTGATCTAAACAAGGAAGTTAATGATTACGATTCTGTTTTTAGGAGAGCTTGTATGTGTGTTTGTTTGTCTGTTTAAAGGATAACTTTTAATATTTTTAGATGGACTTTTATGAAATTTATCAGAGGTGTCGCTCATGCAAAGGAACAATTTGTTGAATTTTGGTGATCCAGATTATAATCTGTATACATACATTTTTTTAATGATTCTCTAACATTGTGAGATAGGGATATTTGGCTGAACAAGCAGTTCCCCATTAAACCAGAGTGTGGCAGCAGCGACAAGCGACAGCCTCAGCATAGGACTCAAAGTCTGAAGGTATTTTACTGAATACAAAAAACAAAACAAGAATAGGGAACGTTGGTGGTTAAGAACGGATTATAAAGAATTTTTTTTTATCAGAGGTTTGCCCTTATGCCAAGGAACATCCATTGATTGTTCCTTGGCATCGATTACAAGGTCTAAATGATAGGTTTAAGTCACAATATGCAGCAAAATTTTATGCTTGGTGGAGGTCTGTGCTCTCTGAGGGCTTCTCTAGTATAAAGAAGTTTTGTTTTGAATGGATTTCAGCAGAGGGTTTTTTTTCTGTTACCTTTTTCTATCAAATAAGTGGACATTTCTATGCAATTTCTGCTCTGAATAGATAACATCCAGTGTGATTGAGTTGCATGTTAAGCACCCCTGTTCTGTGCAGTTGAACTGATCTGATAGATCCGTATAAATTAGTTTAAATGACACAGATCAATCCTTACAGCTTCTCAATGTTTAAGATTTGAGCAAATGCTCAGTTATGTTCCCAAACAAGGACAAATTAAAAACACAAAATGTAGTTTTGCTGTCATTAATCAATTCCAGAATTGTTGTCGCCCAAAGATCCATAAAATAGAACAAACTTAGAGAAAGAGCCAAAAAGAGCACCTTAATCCTATAGATAAGTTGATGCATTTGATCATTCATGCTTTTTGTTGTCCACTTTTTCTGCTCTTCCAGGAGGAGCAAAAATGATATTCTGTTGGAGCAAGTGTCCGACTTTCTGCAGCAGTTACCGAATCAGTTCTGCCCTGTGGATTATCTCAAAAAACAATTAGTGAGCATCTCTATGTGCATAGTTTTATTCATGTTTTATTATCATTTAGAGTGTTCATGATCTGTTTTTTTTTTTGCTTTCAGAATATGAATGAAAAGACTTTAAAGCGTGTGTTTAGTTGCTTCCGATTCAGCAAAATTGCAGAGTTTTCTCAGCATCCTATAGAAGAAATAGATCCCACCGCTGAACCTGTCACCAATAAAAATGGTAAAATAGTTTTTCTGTTTGTTTTTTTTTTTACTCCGAAGCATCATGATGGATAGGCTGCTGGAGATTTTCACACCAGTCTGTTAGATGTCGTCTGAATATATTTTGCATATGAATTTTAAAAGGAGAACCAAGCAACTGATGCAGACTTATTTTTTGTATTTGAAACCTGCTGAGTTGAATCCTGTCTTTTAGGCACTAAAGTTCTTGTGCGCTGTATAAAGCTCTTGAAGCCATACGGGAACAGAAACACTGCAGATTTTGATGACGAGGATGATGAAGATGAAGAGTATGCTGGAGGCAGAGGAGGAGGACTCCCCTCAGAAGGAAGAATCATGGAGAGGGACATCCTGTCACAGGCCTATCACATCAGTGAGTGTGATCACCTTTATTTGAGAAAGAAGCAAAAATTTAAATCACTTTAGATATTTTTCACAGTCCAAAATAAAAATGTCTTCATTTAGGCTCACATTCTGCTTCCTGGTGTGACCTCACGTAAAAACTAGTCGAGCTATTAGGACGAAGAAACCATGGAAAATGAACCATGGCAAACTGCTAACGTTGCTAACGCTACATACATGTAAACATGCATATGTACAAGTCTAATTATTGTGCATACCCTAAATTAGCTCTATTTAATTTTCTTTCTCTTATAAATGAACAAACATGAAGTAAAATATCCTTTTTCATTCAATAATATTTTAAAATTTTTATGACTGAGGTCGATATTACATACCTTACCATTTAATACATTTTGACAAAAAGCTCAAACAAAAGTAAGCAATCAGCAATGCTGCTCTATGTAAACCAGGTAATCTGTACATAAATAACGTTCTATGGACGCTTCTTATTTCAAGAAAGGAAAAAAGGAGAGAAAATAAATAATGTCACTATATAAACATGGGACCTTAGAGGGTTCACCCACTCATTCACCTTCCTCCTCGGGGGCTAAGCTTACATTTTTAACATATTCTATGAAAATCTTCATATTTTCTCAAATACACACATTTTAGAATACAATATATATGTTTTTTGTTTTATTTCCCTTTGTAAATGTCTGGGATGTTTTTAGTTCTACTGGTGTAAAGGCCAGAACACACTGAATCAGATTTTGCATCCCATCTGGCAGAAAATCTTGTAAGACGAGGTTGTGACGCTCATTGAAAGTCAGTGGGGATGGTCAAACCCAACACAATTTTACGCAAGGGGGCTGCGTTGGTTCAACTGAGATAGACCCCAGGTCTATTTAAGTCTTACTACGCAAAAATTCAGCAGCCATTTCATGGGTCTGACAGGAAGAAAGACGTGGTTACAAAGTAAAACACATTCACTTTGGGGGAAAATACAAAATAAAATCTGTTAATCGCACAGGAAACGGTCAGTTTTGGAGTCGCAAATCTCGTATACAGCAAGCGGGAGAGACTATGGTAAAAACAATGAATGAAACATTAAAAAATATAATAGGAGGACAGAAAATGGATGAAGCGGTGATCCTCTTTGAGCCTTGAGAGACAGAAAGCGCAGTTTATCACTCTCCTAGAAAAAAAAAAAAAACTTCAGGAGGAGAAAAAATGGTCGCAACTTTCCGGGAATGAAAGTCGCTACATTCCAAGAAGGAAAGTCGCAATAGTGCAATGTTAGTTAATAGTTAATAGGATAATTTGTTAATAGTTGTATTTTTATGACGACTCTTATAAGAAGCACTTTCTTCCCCAAAGTGAGGAATGTTGAGCATCATGTGAAGTTATACTTTATTATGGGTTTGACAAATAAGGAAATCTTAGCACGCCACCAGAACATACTTTGGGAAGTATGTCAAAGTGGACTTTGGTTGTTGTTTGATGGTGCTGGTTGGCCGTCATGCTGGTCGGAGCTCCAAGCTTTCTTTGTGAAACGGGTTGTGGTAGGGGTGTAAATCACACCCATCATGGTGATTTGATTCAGTATTGATTTCCTGACCCAACGATTCGATTATTTTCGATACTCAAGAATACACCACGATACGATTCAGAAGTAGAAAAGTTGCACTCCACTTATTCCTATTAAAACCTCATTCCCTGAAAAATAATAATACCCCTGCGTTATAGATTCTGAAAGGCCTTGCACAGAAAAAATACTGCACAAAATCAGTGCAATGAGTCCAGACGTCACCGCCCCCTCCACAGACGCTCCGCTGCCCCTCTCCCAAATTGTATCTGACCGGAGGCAGGAGGCCAGCTTGCTTTGTTTTTATGACGGAAATTGCGGAAAACAACTCGTGAAGTAATCTAGCCTGCCTATTGTTCCATATAAATCCCCCCAAAAATATTTTTTAATGTTGAAAACTAAACTGAAGGTGGTGGCAGAGGAATGTATTGAGATAAGTAAAGAAATTTGGATAAGATATTACTTTTGAGTAAGTTTATTCTCCCCTAATAAACAGAGGACGAGACATCCAATGTTGAAGAGATTTATTCGATTCAGTCATTTGGGGTTCATAATTACTGGATGCAAAGAGTTCCAGTTCAAGTAAAATTTGGATTTCCAGGTGTTTGAACTGTCCTGTGATATTGAATTTATAGGTACTTTGGGAATGTAATTAATTCCCTAAGTTGTATTTAGCAATAATATTAAGTATTTGGTTTTGTTTATTTTGTACCCAGATATGGTACCAGGTTGGTTTATCAAATCAAGTAATCTTGTCATTAGGCATGGGAATCGAAAACCGGTTCCTGTTAAGAACCGGTTCCGTATTTTCCGATTCCATGGCATCGTTTGGCAGCTCGCTGAATGATTCTTTTTTCGATTCCCGCAGCACCAGAGCCTAGAGCGCCGGCTCTGCGGAGCACGACTTACGTCACGTTTTTTACGTAAGTTACGCAACTTACGCAAGTTACGCAAGTTGGAAGAACTATTCGAGGAGGAAGACAACGAGCTGCGGTCACTTTGTGAATCAAAGCCCCGTCTTTCCTTAGCCCAGAGGGTAGACCAGGAAATCCAGCTCTGTAAAAGCTTGCCCTCCATCCCCTGCAGGGATAGCGCCACACTGTGGGTGGTGGAACAAGCAAGATACGCTGCCCTTGCTATCTGGACTGGCTGAAAACTACCTCTGTGTGCAGGCTTCCTCCACCCCATCTGAGAGGGTGTTCTCCACGGCTGGAGACACCATAAGCCCTGAAAGATCCCGTATCCTTCCAGAAAAAGCAGATATGCTCATCTTTCTGCAAAAGAACTGTTAATTTTCCCTACTACTGTTTTATAATTAGTACTTTTTTGTTATTTAAAATAGGTTATTATCCCATCATTTGTTATTAGACATTGTTGGTTATTAAGTTTGTTCTTGTATTCATTTTTCATTTAAACACAGATGTTACTCCAGTTTCACATTTCCTGTGGACATCTTGATCTTGTTGAGTTTGTAAGATTGTGCAATAGTTACGTAAACAAAGTTGATTCTGATAATCAAACTGTTTGTTCTCCTTTTCCCCCAAATTGGAATCGAAAAAAGAATCGATAAAGAATCGAATCGTTTCATAGAATCGAAAAGGGAATCGGAATCGTGAAAATCTTTTCAATTCCCAACCCTACCTGTCATAGTGCTTTAAAGATTGGTTATGACTCCTCTAATCCAAAGATTGCATGCAAAATTATTTCTTGTCCTTTGTTTTGTTTTCAGTTTTGTCCTCTGGTACAAAGGGAATGTCTCAGAGGGAGGTCGGATTAAGGTTGAACATTGGTAAGCTAGAATCCCGTGTGATCTGTCGACACCTGAGCAAGGCTGATGTGATTAAGGTAAACCCTTAAAATCTACATTCATTTTAAAAACAAAGCCTCTCTTCCTTATAACCTATAGTTAGGTTGGTTATTTAAATCTAACCTGTTCTGTACAAAAACCCAAGTTTCCATTTAATCATTAAATGTCCCATTTATGCTACTGCCATTTTTGCAGGACAATTCCTCTTGATTAGGCAGATGGCCTTTACCAAAAAACACTTCATTCAGCCTACATTCTAAAAACCATACCCCTGTCCTCCTGAAGGGGGCAGCAACCATAACAACTAGTCAGTGTTTGTAAAGATAGCCTAGGAGTGTGGAATAATACATTAAATGAAGACTGGAGTTTGACTGCTAGCCCACTCTGGACAGCTTATTTCCCCTTATGACATCATAAAGGGAAGGCTTTTCAAACTGAGCATTTTGAGCACATGGAGTTAGAGAAAGGCAATGATGGAGGTTCTCTTGTGGACCTAATAAGTTCAGGACACACATGACTATTGCAAAATGTTTATAATGTCAATTTTGTATACTGATGGACCTTTAAAAAAAAAAAAAAAAAAAAAAAGATTTTACATGTTTTATTTTTTCCATGTATTTTTTTTCTTCTTATGTTTAAAAAGTAGAGATTAATGGAATTCTGATAATTATATTTCATAAATGTGTATAAGTCAGCTGTTTCTCGGTTGCTTTTTTATTTTCAATTCCTTTCACCTTACAGAGTTTCATGGAGGATGAGGGTCGGCAGAGGACTTACAAATTCATTAGCCACAAGTTTGTATAAACAATAAGCTTCAGTTTTACGTTCCTTAACCAGAACCTCGTTATTTCATATCGCTGTGTCCTATTTGTGTCTGTCGACAGATTTGTGAGTGGCAGCAATCAACTCCAGCTGTTTGCTAAAGAGCAGGAGAGAAGCAAGCTGTTGTGCTCCTCATCTCCAAACGTGTTAGACACAGAGCCAGACTCCTCTAAAACATCGTCAACCTCGAAAGTGCCCAAAACCAAAGGCTGCAAAACCCCCAAAGGCAAGAATAGCAAGAAAGCAGGTGAAGGGAAAAAGAAGGATGCTGAAGAGGAGCAGCAGCTGGTTTGTGAAAATCTCACAGAGGATTCGGTGAATGAAAATCCAGATGGAAAAAGTAATAGAGCAAATGCGAAATCAAGAAAAAAGAAGAGTGTGGAGGAAAACAACATGACAGCAAAGCAGAGCCAACCTGACACTCCCACCACACAATCTACTCAAGCTGAATGTGAGCATTAAATAAGCCTACAATGGATCTTTATCATAACTCTTGGAGTTTTATGAATGACCAGCTTTGTAATGTTGAAAACATTCTGTAACTTCTTAGGTGAGACTCCCTCCTCCAGTGGATCTATGGAGGCAATAACGCTGAACTCCGCTGACATTCCCACTGCAGGTAGTTTGAAAATATGGACTATTTAAACTTTAGCTACTGCATCCCAGGGGTGGATAATCTGGGTGCAAAAAAAAAAAAAAAAAAAAAAAAAACAGATTAGTAGCCAACAAGGAAAATGATGTATCCAATGTTTAAAATCACCTGGAAAAGTAAAAGGGATTAAAGAAAACAAGACACGTCTTTACATTGATTAGCCATAATTCCCAAACTTTAGCATGAATAACACTGTGGTATTAAAACGTGATTGCAGAGACGGTTGTTTGAAAAGTAATCGGTTATACATTTTTAAGTGTTTAATAAGTATTAGTAGGGCTTCAGTTAATATTATTCTGCCAAATATATTTTAGGCCTTGCCAGTGCCTGAAACATAACTAATGGCAAACTGTTATACTGGACTGGAAAGATGACGCAGACCTGTTTTTTTTATCCAGTTTTTATGCATTTAATATTTTTTTATGAATTTTCATTTTGAAAGAATTATTTCAGTTCCGTTTATAACAGATCTTCATAGTTAATTGCCAGTCCCCAAGTGAACCACCTCTGTCTAGGGTAGAGCTGCTAAAATCAGCTCACTTTTGATGAGGGCATATCTGAGGCCAGGCTAATTGCAGCAGTCAGATGCAGTGACCCTTTTTAACCTGAGGAGGGCGTCAAACTGATGGTTTTAGACAGCTATGCAAGATTTTAACAGTTATGCAGTAAATTGTCAAATTAATGCATGAGATGGTTAGATGGCGCTAAAAGAGATTTGTATATTTAGTTAATAAAACAAGTAGAATTATGGGTGATGTCCTTGGAATAATTAAGTTTTTTTTATTTGAGTAGTTCTTAAATGCTGCTCTGAGTTGGTTGTGTTTTAAGCTGATCGACTGCTTTAGTCGGATTCTGTATGTTAGCAATTAATCAATCAATAGATAAGCTAACGATTAATAATTTCTTCATAAATTAATTGTTTCAGCTCTAAGTATTAGTGTATAATGACGGCCATGACTGTTAGCGCTATTTGTATAACAGTCAAACATTTTTTAAATTCTCTGTTACATTGAAGTCACAAAACCTTCAGTGGACTTAAGTGAAACATTAACAAGATCTGGATTTCTAAGAATAGATAGTTTAACCAAATAGAATAGGTGCTAAAAAATAGTTCCAATGAATAATTAAGCACCTGCTTACACGGTACTTGTTCTTGCTGCTTTTACTGCAAAAGCCCTGGCACAAAAAAATAAAAATAAATATATATATATATATATAACGTTGCCCACCTTTGCACCAAACGTTTTTAAAACCAGAATAGAGAAACACCATTATCTAATTGTCCACCAGCAAATGTTTAAGTGTTGTGTTAGGAGACAATTTGCTGTGAGACTAATCAAAGACAAACCAATAATATCGTTTTACCCTCAATAAAAAGTGATTGATTAATTTTGTGGCATGCAGGCATTAGCCCGGGCCAGATTTTGAAAGATCTCAAACAGTTGAAAATATAAGTCTTTTTTTTTTTTTTTTTTTACAAATTTTACAGAATTTATTGTCTATCAATCTTTTTGTACAACCCCTTTTGTCTCACTTCTGCTAAGTTTTGTTTTTTCAGATAAAATCAGTAGAGATAAGGAAGTCAATTATGTACCTGGTAAGAAGAAAAGTTACTAGTGCACAAAAATGCACTATTTAATAGAGTTGATTAAAAAGAAATACAAAATCTTGAAAAGACAAGTCCTATTTTATGCTAATTACTGATTAGTTGCAGTTTTTGTACCATTCTGCATCATCTCTCTTGGTCCTGTTTAAGTTTTCTCTAATCAGGAAATGCATGTTTTGACCTTAAACTGTAAACTTCTCCTCTTCTGTGAGGTTTTGTAAAACTAGAAAATCAAGTTCATTCTTTGACTTCACACTTAAATATGACAAATTCTTTTTTAAAGCAAAAAAAGGAGGAAAAAAAAATCTGTCACCCGTAATGAGACCTATAACCTAGATAACTTAATTTGGTTTGTCTTAAAAACATTTTATTTCTAAACACCACCATTCCTTTTTATCTTTTTGTTATTGTTTTTCTTATGTGTATTTTGTATTAGTGGAGGAAGAGGAACAACCCAACTTATCTCCTGCCAGCTCTTTGCCTCAGAGCGAGGCTGCTCGTTCATCTGATAACTCATCCAGCACCAAGATCATTGAAGTTGAGAGTGATTTCCAACCACAGGTAATGATGCCTTTTTGTTAGTAGTTTGTGTTCCCCTATTAAAAAGGATTGAATTTGACACTTTCTCTTGATTTATTTATTTTTTTATCCCTTCAGAGGTCCCATGAGACGTACCGCCTGTTGAAGAGGAAGAACTTAATTGTTGAAGCCATCCGTAACCTCAAGATCGTAGAAGGCTTTTTCCCGTCAGTTTTTCTTTCTCCTTGTGACTTTGATTGACCATTTGAATTAAGACATAGAGCAAAGCTTAACTTGGTTATGCATGTGTTTTTAGGCTACAGAAGATAATCAGTGAGGCAGAAAAGCAGGAGGGTGTTAATACAAAGTGTTGCAGAAAGACTGTTTTACGGCTTGTCCACTGTCTGTCCAAAGAAGGCTTACTGAAGCTTTACACCACTACTGTTGTACAGGACGGCGTCACCAAAAAGGTAAACACACTTCAATGGTGAACAAGATACGAATATTTAATATTTCAGCCCCTTCTGGTAAACGGTGCTTATTAAACTAAGTATTATTTGTGCTATTTTTTTCTTTCTTCAGTTTATTCCAGCAGCAACAAAGACTAGAACAGCTGGATTTGTTTAGAGCAGGATTTATTCACTAATCAGATTATTGTGTAATCAAGTGCTTCTGATCCTTTTCTTCACGCTTGTAGGTGAACATAGTTGTTCATCCATCTATTCAACCCAATGATGAGAAAGTTATTCAACTCATTGACGAGGTTCGCTTCAAAATCTCAAGCTCATATGCAGCTGGACGGTAAGCACCAGCAAGATCTCTGATCTTTACTTAAATCCATTAAAAAATTTTGATTTCAGTGTTTTCGAAATTGGGGGGAAAGGGGCTAATCTTATAACATGTTTTAGAGTCCGAGTGTTGGTCCAGTGGGTTAGAGCAGTGTGCTTGTACTCTGAGAAGGTTGCAAGTACCGCAAGTACTGCAAGTACACAGATGTAACCGAATCATGGACTAGAGCTGCTGCAAAACTTGCTTCAAGCCACATAGAACAAACAATGCAGGACAAGTCCAAACTGGACTAAAGACAAAAAGGACAGAACTGTTGGTCAGTGGACAGTGAGGAATCACATCTGTTCAGTTTAAAGCTTTCACCGCCGATTGCATTCAGCAGCCATCCACTAAGTTTTAACAAGTCTGCCAAACACTGACCAGCAGGACTTTATGGCAACCTGCTCAGCTAAAAATAAAGATGCCTGCTTTAATAGCTATGCTAACTGTGTGGCCCTCATAGAGACTGAGTGTAAATAAATGCTGGAAGTATAACATTCTTTCATTATTATTATCATGTCTGGATGTTTTAGATTATTTATATGAATGCATACATACTGAACTGTCCTCTAGGTCTTTGTGGTTGATTTTTAACCTGAATTATCTCTCTGTATGACTTTTCCTCTTCTCTTCCTGTCCCTTAGCCTGCAGGTTGCTGAAGAGAAGCAGCTCAAATCCACATCTAAAGAACTGAGGAGTGATGCTCTGCACCAGAGCTTAGAAGATGAGGAAGACAAAAATTTTAAGCCCACAACAGGTATGATCTCCTCTTATGAAGTATAAAAAGATCTCTGTAGTTCAAAGATCTGTTAAGTTCATAAGGGAAGGCTTCAATTATTTAGCATTTTCGATAACCTCCTATATTTACCTTTATGTACTTTTAATTTTGTTAAACCAGCTTTCTTAAACAGAGGCATGCTTAGTGAGCAGGCTTTTTATCCCATCCCAATAAAATTAAGCATTTTAATTTACAGTTTGAATACTTTTTAAACATTTGCCAGAATGATATTCTCACACTATCAAAGCCTTAAATAAAATAATATTTTCATTGTATTTTTACAGATACTTCAAATAAAACAGTTTTAAACAATCTAACTAATTTACATGAGAAAAATAAAATTGTTCCCACAATAATTAATATAAGTTAGTAATTTAATACTTGGATTTTATATTTCTATATAAGGTTTTAGGGTTCAAACATGTACTAAATTAGTCTTTTTTTTTTTTTTTTTTTTTGTGTATCCTGTTTTACCAATATAGCTCTGGGAATCTATGCGGTAGAGCTAAATGATAGCCCAAAACTTTCACAAGCAAACCATTGTGGTTGTTGCCATTAGATTCTGCTTGGTAGTTTTATATTAAACTTTATTGAAAATAATTCAGGGAATAAAGTCGTATACAACAGAGATGGAGAGGGAGGTGGGAAAGAAAAGAGGGGATGAGAATTAAGGGGAAAGAGAGAGTGAGAAAGGAAAGACGGATTAGCGGATGAAAAGAGACAAAACAAAAATAAACATCACAGAAGATTTACAGTAACTCTCCTTCCGTAGCTGTATGAGACAAGAGGGAAATTAAACAGAAAAACAGAAAAAAGAATTTGGTTTTGAAGAGCTTCACAGATCAGGTAGGGACAGGTTGCCAACTATGGGTTCAAAGCAGCTATAAAACCCATTTCTGCTCATTGTTTTATTTAATAGATTACCAATCCTGCCTCTAATGGATTGTCATCAGATTAATTATTTATCAAATGAAGAATATGTTGATGTTAATCATGATATAAAATGTTTTCCCTAAGATCTTTATATAAACAAGCACGTTTAACCTCACCAAAGCATATAACATTTCTTTTCCAGTTAGTTACAAAAAAAAAAAAAATCTTATTTAGCTATTATATACCAGTATAAATAATTCAAATTTAAGGATTTACTTACTTGTTATTTGCCAACCATTTCTTTGTTGTTTTTCCATTGATTTATTATTTCTTTTTTCGTTTTCAGTTCCTGGACTTGGCAAAACATTTGGCTTCCAGCCCAAAATGATCCGTCTGCGGGTCATTCATAGCTTTCTCTGGTACCTGCTCTATGACCACCCACTGAGAGATAAAGCCTCTAAGCCGGATTTGTCCAGTCAGACACCAGTAGAACCAGTCGAATCCAATCCTGACACCAAGCTCCCAGAATCCAAAGCAAAACTGGATGTGAAAGAATCTGAAATCTCTAATTCAAGTCTGATGGGCGAGGGATCAGGGGATGAAGATAGCCAGCAGAGTGATAAATCTAAACCTGATCAGTGTGACTCTGACTTGAAAGGTAAAAGAATGTTATTGGGCTAAAGTTGTATCATTTTAAAGAAGCTGTTATTTTCAGGCTTCCTTAAGATCTTTTTTTTTTTTACATCAGGTTTATCACAATTTTAATTAAAATTACTTTAAAGACAGATTTTTTTTTGTTAACCTTGTTCTGTTTCTCTGACAGTGTATGTTGATGAACACTCATGGAGGAGATTTGTCCCGCCTGTTTATGTCCAAAAAGGCTTCTCTACTGGCTGGGCGATGCTTCGCAATATTCTACTTTGCTTGCCGCTTTCCATTCTTGTGCAGATCGTACAGTTTAATTACAAGGTAAGATCAATCTTTTTGACAATGTTATCAAAATGTTGTCTGCAAAAAAATGTCTAACCTGTTGTAACATCATAGTAAATAGGCTCTACAAAGTTCAGGTCTCTATGGTAAAAATGAGAGAAAACTCTATTTTCATTCTACATATAATGCTACTTACAGGAAATGAGATCAGCATTTCTGAAAAGATAAGAAAAGAAGATGGTAGGAGGTTTGTTTAAAAAAAAAAAAAAAAAAAGTGATTTTGAAAAATATTTTGATCCAAATATTGGATGACTGGACCTTATTGGTGATACTCACCAATTTCAGAGCCACTGTAAAACCTCAGCACCACTTTAGTCAAAAGAAACAAAGTTTGTTAGATTTAAAAAAGCTTCCAGGGATACAAATCAGTTTCTGTTTAGCAGTATGCTACTTGCTCTCCACTGCAAATTTGGCGTAATATACTGGTAGCCTGAAAGCTTTGTGCACTGAATGTTTCTCCTTAGCATCTTTTTCCATATTTCGTTTGTAAGGTTTACTTCATCTACTCTTTTTTTTTTTTTTTTTTTTTTTTTGTCATGGCTCTTAAAGCACGGTAATATAAAAACACATCGACGTTGGAAGGTGGAGATCACAATTGTTGTCTGAGTACCTTAAGGCACAAGTGACCTTTTTTAACCTGAAGGATCCACTGGCATGTTTAAAAGGATTGATTAAAACAAAATTGTCTGACATATATACTAGTTTGAATGATTCTTACCATATTTTCTGAACTATAGAGCGCACTGCTCTTTAATCCGCGCCCACAAAATGTTTTTGAAAAAAAAAAAAAAAAAAGTGGAACTATACATATATAAGCATCTGACTAGGGGTGTAAATAATAATCGTTTTGTATAGGTGCATCAATCCAACAGCCGACGATCTGATGCATTGACACTTCCGCAAGAGTAGCGATTCATGCCGGTCAATTTTTATCCATTTGCTCCTGGACGTAATTCTGACTCCCGTGCTGCAGTGGCGCTAAATCTATTTCGCCCTCCTACCTCGCTTCCGTTAGCCACTACCCTCTTTCCGCCTGTCCACACACTCTCATAAACAGTAGGCAAGACAGACATGGTGAATGAAATACAGGTGTCATTTTTGTTACCATTTGCTGCTACTGCACTTTTGCACTCATTGCACAGATGTTGAGTATTATTGTGAATGTAGTGTAGGCCTGTTTTTGTTACTTAATCTACTAGTGCACCTATGCACTCATTGCAGTATTTTTTGAAGCAAGGCCTGTCAGAAACTATTGCACAGAGGCATTATTATTTTTCATTGAATGAGGTTTTCATAGGCCTAGGTGGAGTACAACTTTGCTACTCCTGTTATTTGCTGCTGTTTCTCAAATAAAATGCATAACGTTATTACAGCTTTCATTGTTTTTTTTTTTTTCAAATTTGAAACATTTTCTAGCCTGTAAGTAAAAAAAAAAACCCCAAAAACTAACCAATTAATCAATCGTGGTGTATTCTTCAGTATCGAAAATAATCGAATCGGTCGGTCAGGAAATTGATACTGAATCGAGTGGGGTGTAATTTACGCCACTGACATCTACTGAACTGTCTCCCACCACACCTGTAGGGGGAGCTCTACATATAGCCCCTGTAGTAGGGAAGAAGAAGAATGCTAGCTCCCATTAGCTTGTTTACTTGGTTGCAGTAAGAGCTTCTACTGACAGATGGGGCTTCATCAGCACTTTATTTCAGTTCTGCAGGAGTTGAGCCCAGTCTTCATTGGTTCGGCAGCTTTAATGAGGCAAATAAATGTCAAATTGTGTGAATTTGAGACATTTGTTGTCAGTCGCTCCTGTTGCTAGCATGTACTTGTGCTAAATGAAAATTAGTCCCTTTTTCTTTCCTTTTCAACTTTGAACTTCCCCTTCTGGCAGTTGGGAAAAATCAAGAGAAAAACCCCACCTCTTATAAGCCTCATTGTTTAAAGCGTGGGAAAAAAAGTAGTAGCTTACAGTCTGAAAATTTGGTAGTTTATAGCCTAGTAAACTAGCACCACCCGCCAGCGGCCAAAATAATTTTTGTCTGCGAGTGGTCCAGCCTCGATCAATGCCCCAGGCCCTAGAACTGGCAGGCCAGTTTTAGTCTGGTTCATCAGGCTTAGTTTTTTATGGTTAAGTATACAAAGAAATGTCAATTATCCTTATTTATCAAGCCCAAATAATGCTCGGACTTCTTTTTTCCGTGAATCTGATGCTGTTTCACACACGGCTTCATCAGTAGATAAGCTCTGGTATTTTAAAGGTTTAATCAACATGAGCTCTCATACATCATGTGTGCCATATATGTGGACAATAGCTATAGAGGCAAATTTAAGTCAAATATTGGAGCAGTGACTTGGGACCAAAGTATTTGATCTCATGCTCTGCTCTTTGTTAAAAGAAGAATCCCTGCACAGCTACTTTAAACTGATGTCTTGTTTTGCTCCTTAAGTAATTTAACTTATAATAATTTAGCTAATAATATTAGCTAAAATAATTTAGCTACCGTAATAATCAAGGGACCTCTTCAAGGTGTTCATAGAAAACTTTTAATTTCTTCTGAGATGGTCTGTGGATTCTTTAAATCTTAAAGAAATATAATAAAATCAGATATTGATGTGAGAACAGGAAAAAAACACTGCTCATCTTGGCAAGTAGATAAGCAGTATTCGGAGTGGAAGTGCATCAGATGTAAAAGATATGACCCTATTTATTTTATTTTTTCCCCCCACTTCTCCAGGTCATAGTTTAACCTGTGAAACACGCTTTATTTTTAGTAATTTTACCCAATAAATTACATCAGAATCCATCTTTTTGTCTGTTTCTTGGCATTTATATGCAATAACTCCCCGTCTTACATTATATACAGGCAACAGCAAGGCAAGATTATTAAAGCAGCGTACTGGTTTTGCTTGTGTCCACAGGTGGATGAACTGGAGGACTATCTCAGTGACCCTGTGAAGCAGCACTATCTTGTGAGAGCACTGCCTCAAAGAATGAAAAGACAGCTTCTTTATAAAAGGTGCCTTTCAGTTTGTTCTTTTCTCTTTTTACCGTTGAATTCTACTTCCTTCCAGACATTGTGGGTTTGTGTGATAAACGACAAGCTGCTCCTTCTCTTTTAGGAAATACATCCATGTCTTTTATGTGAACCTGCAGAAGCTGACCTACATGGGCTTATTGCAGTTCGGTGTTGTTGAAAGGTTCAAGGACAAAGACCAGGTACAGAGGAATCTGTCTGCATAAAAAAAACTATAAAGAAGAGTTTCTTAATAACTGCAAAGTGTTAAAAGTTGAACATTTTAATTGTTTTGTTGTTGTGTGATTCAAAGTTTATTTAGATTCAAACTTTTTAAGAAAGAACCAGAGGATCAATAGATAATTTGACTAATTATTCTCTTCTTTTTGCACTCATCCAGGTGTTTATTTATGTGAAACGCAATGCCACCATTGTCGACACAACCACTTCAGAGCCTCACTACTGGCTGGTCCAGGAGCCCCCTGACAAGCCCTTTGAGCGGCGCCATTACGTGTTCAACACTGCCCAGGATGTGGAGAGCTTCTGGTTCGACCTGATGTGTGTCTGCCTCAACACACCTCTGGGTACATATGTGCACGGCTGCATGCACCTCATTTTACATGTAAACTCAATGACACCATTTAAGGATCTGATTCATTTATTTATTTTTTATTTTTTTGAAGGCGTGGTTCGAAGCAAGAGAAATGGAGCAGCTGATGAATCCACTCCTCCTTTTGTGCACGATCACAGCGTGATTGTTGGAATGGGTTACCTGCTAAAGTAAGTAAAATTTAAGTTCTCAATATGTGTACTTGTGTGTTCTTGTGCTCGTGAAACGCCATTAACTTCAGCCTGAGCACTGTTCCAATTCACAAGAACACAAGCCTGAGAACAGACAAAGTCCCCGGATGTTCTCGCCCCTCCCTCTTTACACAGTATGCACCAGAGCAGACTTGTCTGTTGAGATTGACAGCTGTCCCAGCATGCACTGCAGCAGCAGCAGCTTCTATTAGAGCACTCACAGAGCTTCCAAAAAAAGTTTAAAAAAACAATCCAATTGTACTTTGTTTCCAAGTTTGAAGATATTTCGCTTCCCATCCAGGAAGCTTTTTCAATCTCAGGGTTAAAGTTAAGTTAAAGTTCTCTTTTCTGATGCCTTTGTTCTATAGAAGTATGCTTTAAAATTATTTGAGGTGAGAACAATATACTTTTAACAGTGTTTCCCATTAATGAACGAGAATGTAGCGGTCTGCCATAGAAAACAACAACAAAAAGATCTGTCAGTTTATCAGACCGTTCCATAGCTGTATTTTCATACCGCCCGTAACCCAACGCCATAGAGAGACAAATTGTTTACAGCCGTAACCAAGCGACAGGATGAATGCGCGCCACGCTCATAGACGTCACTTACTTCTTGATACATTTGGCGTATCAAATCCAGCGACGCCAGAGTGGGACGTCGGAAGTTGACACCAAACGCAGCAGGAGCAGCAAAAACGCGTCTGCTGTTTTATTATCGATGCTTGTAGCAGTTTAGTTCTGACGCGCAGCAGGAGCAGCAAATCTGCTTCAGCTGGGAAAATCCACCTGAAAACTAAATCGGTGCAGTCAGTTCATCCAGATTAACATCCTGCCTTCAAATATTATTTCTGTTGGAGGCACTCAGACCCCCACATACCAGCGATGCGCTGTCAGTATAAATCCCGTTCAACAGCAGCCTCTGGCCCGGTCGCCTCTTCGCGGTATGGCGCAGGGGCTGGAAAGAGGTTTTCATGTACTATCTACCCTCTTTTTATAAAAATGCCGTCCCAGCTGCCCGGTTCTATAACTGCTATTAGGTGAAATCAGATCTCCGCAGCCAGCTTCAGGGGGAACACCTTGCTGCATGTTTGAGGATCTCAATTAATGGACCCAGCCCTGGAGACTTTAATTACATTAGAGCTCTGGAGCTCTGCAAATGGTTTCTAAATAAAGCCTGTCCAAAAATTTTTGTTTTTCGATTGTATTGTTTAAAAGATTGCTTGTTCTAGTTAGTGATTGAGTTTCTGTATTGTTTTATTCTGTATTCAATTTTTTAATCAAATTTAAATTACTTCTGATATGCCTTTGTAAGTTTACTTTGTAGAAAAAAGTGAAACTTGTAGTTTATTACACGTACTGGTGTTTTTTTTCTGTCTATAGGAATAGGACTTAAAGATTATAAAAACAAACAAAAAAAATGTTCTCATATCAGAAACGTACTTTGCATGACGTCTATAAGGATAAAATGGGTGTATGTTGTCTGTATCCTATAGGCGTAGATCAGGGCAGTTTGAATGTCAGCATGCAAGAACTAATTCTAAGGGTTGTTCTTATTTGTATGAATCTATGAGAGCAGCTCCATCAGAAAGGGTTTGGGGTAGGAGGTGTTCTTTCGTACCTAGTTTATGCAGCAGGGTGCACAGGTTCTTTGGGAAGGGGAGGTTGCAGCCAGCGATCATCTCAGCTGAGTCTTGGAAGGCCATTCCACTTGGTTTTAGTGTAGCTGCATTATCACTCGGTGATATCTATCTTAATAATAGATATGTTACATGTAAACTTTCCTTTAATAGATATATGTTACATGTAAACTTTCCTTTATTTATGGGCACATCTTATGAATTAGTTGTCATGCTTAATGCATGCCCCCTGCCTTTAATGTGTTCTACCTGAACCAACTCAGAGGCAGCTATGAGGTGTGTGACGATGGCTCCATACCAGGAGACGGTAGAGGAGCAGGAGGTCGAGACTCAGAGCTCTTCAGTCATCTTAAACGCAACTGGTTGTGGACAAGTCACCTACTTAATACTAACACGGTATGATAAACATTTAAATCACATTTAGCAAATGTAACAGTTTCTACTTGTTTAGAAGTTTGACAATTTTTATATTATTTTTAGAAGTTAATTGAATCACAGGCACCAGATCCCCAACCAAGACTGAAAAGTCTGCTGAGTAGAAGTGCCCTGAGGATGGCGCTTCAAGCTGGTGAGTTGTGCGGTTTTGCTTTTTTTCTTAACTGCTTTTATTAAAACCTGGTGATCTTGTGATTTTATTCTTTGGATTCATATTTTTGCTTAATTTGGTAAATGTTTGTAACAGGAAATGCCATTGCACCTTCTTATTTGACCAACAAACGGCCTCTGATCAAAGAAAACATTGAGGTATGAGGTCTTGTTAGCTTCTTGTTCTTCTAATAGTTCCCTGCTATACTTACTACATCAAGCTGATTAAAAAGTTGTCTATAAGTTTTAATATCCTCGCACAGTTGAGGGGAAGGTTTAAACTTGTGAATGCTGCCTCTGTAAACAGGTGGGGATAGAGCCAGCTTTCAGAAACCAGCAGGTCGTTGGAGGAAAGGGACAGAAGAGGAACAAGAAGAAAAAAGAAGCGGTCAAGGTCCAGCGCAAGTCGAAGAAAGGTATCATCTGCTGTTTACCAATAAACATGATTCTAAGGCACTTAAACTTGTTGGAAGATTTTAGATTTATCAGTAGAGTTTTCAACACGCTGATTTTTTAGGAGAGTTCTTGTAAATGCAATAGATGGCAAAATTAAAAACATTTAATTGACTAATTTTCATTAATTGTTCCTTCCATGTAATCATTTAGTTTGCACTTTAATTATAGATAAGAAACCCAGTTGTTAGGTTTGGATGAGACTATCAGGTCCATTTTACGGCAGTTTATGATTCACCCAGGGATTAAAGTATTCCGGCCTGTAGCAATTGCCCATGGGACAAAACAAAACAAAAAAAAAACTAGAAAATAAATTGAAGACAAAATCCCCCTTGTGTTTGTCAGGCAATAGTAACAAAGGAGCGCTCTGAAACTCACAGTATTAGCCAATCAGAAGAAGGGGGTGGGTCTTAGGAAATCGTGTACTGCCTCCTCTCCTGCTCAAGTCGCCAGATAGATTGTGGGAAAGTCACCTTGCGCCGTTCACGGCTCCATTCAACTGAGAGACGTGCTTAAAATCAAAAAATGAAACTGTGTTTGGAGAGAAGGAAGATGAAGAAAACTGAATTGAATGGAGTGGGCACAATGCAGTTCATGAACTCCAGTAAAAAGGTGCTACGCAAACATGAATTAGACCCTGGTCATCAAGCTGCTGTTCATGCAGCTGCGCACACTATACGTTTGCCGGTAACTATGGCAACAGCTGATTTACCAGCGTCAATCACTGACCGTGTATGCAAGTTAGAATTAAGGGTTTGTACTTCCCTCACCGAACACAACCTCAGTCACACTAGATATAGATGCACTTTTGCCATCTTCTGTCCATTTTTGGTGTTGGAATTTTAGAAGTCAAATTTAGTCTTCAATCATTCATACAATCTCTGATCCAATGCCCCCACACCCCCCACAGGTGCGATGTTTAATCACATCTGATATTTCAGCTGTGCTGAGGCTTTTATTGTGTTTTGTCAAATGTTTAAAAATAAAGTTAAGAAGTACATAATAAGGTTTGATCATATCTTCTGGCCCTAATATCCACTTAACAGCTCCTCTTCCGTAGTGAAATGTTCGTTTTGACTTGGTTCAAGTTCAGGGATTTCTGTAATTAGCAAAAACCTGCTGTCTGTTATTAAAATGAAGCTTACTCTACGCTATGTTGATAGGAGTGTTAGTGCACTATTAAAGCATTTTGTATGCCATGGTGAATCAATGTCACCAGTGCCAGAAAACCTTGAAAAAGGTTTAGTGATTTCACTGCTGATGCATTTTAAACTAAAAACTTTTTGGTAAGAACCTAGAAAACGCACTCTGGCCCATGATGCGACAGACCACCAGGCTCTGAAACGGATGACCAGAAACAGAGTGTACTGGTCTGTTCAGGAGGACTCCATCATGATGCTCTGCTCAGTGGCGTCAGACCTGCTCAACAGCAAGGTACTAATACTCTTTAAGATCTGCCCATCATCTGCTTTATGTGTTTCTTAATCTTTTGTTGTGTTTTTCTACTTCTAACAAACCATCTGCATATGATTTGTGCATTTTTTGTTTTGTTTTGCAGCTTAAAAGGCCTTTTGTGCCTCACTGTGTTGTAAGAGACATTCTCCACGCAGAGTTTGACAAATCGAAAGATAAAACGTCTGTCTCTGTTGCACGTCGCTCAACTTACATTCTTAAAAATCCTCAAACGGTTCTGAACTACAGGTGGGGCTTTGCTACAGATGTTCAAAAAAATTTGTTGTTTTTTTAAATAATGGTTCTCATGAGGTTTTACCCAACAACGGTTTGTCTCAGGATCTGTTTGGCGGAGGTTCACCAGGACAAAGCTCTGATGACACTGTTGGAGGAGAACAAACCGACTGACCCTAATGACCCAGAGGTTTGTTGATCTCTCTTTGTTTACTTTCTATTGTACGTTGATTGTAAGAGATGTGAATTTAACTGAATTTGGCTGTGATGTTTTAGGCCTGTGCCAAAGCCTTCTCTGAATACATGCGCCTGCTTAGACAGAAGTTCAAAACCATCATGGATGATCGTGCCCCAATGATACCAGACTCTCAAGAGCAGATCTTTTCACAGTAAGAATGGATAATTTAACTTGTTTATCTTTAAAGCAGAACAAGATAAGAATCTTCCTAATGTTTATTCTTCAGATATAAAGTTTCTGCAATAGATGAAGGGAAACATGTCGTTTACAAAGACACCATCAGCTGGTAAGGATTGGTTTTACAGAGGATTTTCTTTTCAACAAATAGATCTGGTTTGGTGCCTGTAATACTTTTTTGTTTATTTACCACAGCAAAGAAGACATTTATGCTGTCGTCTTGTACAATTTGATCCAGAGCTCTCTGGTTATGACCAATGGTCAGATGAAATCTTCCCGATCATTTCAGGTAACTAAAATAGATTGTTCTGTCAGGTTCTGTAGATTGTTCTGTCAGGTGCTACTACGACTCATTTATGGTTAAACTCATGTTAATACTTAAATTACTGCTCTTCTGAAGTTATTTTAAAAGTATCTATTATGGCTTGGGTTATTTGGGACTTTCTTCCAATTGTAATAGTTTTGTAAAAGCTTTATGTGCTTCCTCTGTTAGACCTTCCAGACGTACAATAAGTATGATCAGGAGCTGCTCTGTCGAGTGTTCGTCCAATGCAGGAAGAGGGGCCTGTACAATCGGCGCCGCATCACTCCGAGTTTGGAACCAAAGAGGAACAGATGTCTTCCCATTCTGCCCATGTCATTCCAGATGTCCCAGTCCTACTACAGGTTGGTCTTGTTTTCTATTCAGATATGAAAAGAGAAGTTTTAATCATGGAGCAAATAGATTTTTTTCTTATCATGTATTATGATTACATTTTTTTTGTGTGTGTTTTTATTTAATAATTCCTCTTATTACTTATTTTAAATGTGTACTGTGCAGAATAGTGTAAAAATAAATACATTTTATTCTAAAATCAGTATGAATGTTGTTAGTAACTGTGCCATCATAAAAATCCAGATCTTAATAATCAAACTTTGGAGATTTAAATCACTCCTACATTTTAATACTTTTGTAGTGATGAAATATGCAGACCTCTACTTCACCAGAAGGAGCTCAACTTTAATTGTGCTAGTTCTTCATTTAAGCAGCTCACTGTTTTAAGCACTGTAGGATTTTACAAACAAAGCTTGCCTTAACTGAAATATTTGCTATCATGTCTATAGGGTTACCTGAAATCAATGTATCTAATGCAGAAAACTTAAAAGCTGGTGTTTTCTGCTCAGGCTGTATCGCAAAATGAAGCTTTTGCATATCTTTTAGGAATCTAGAAGCATGTCCTATAAACTGAAAGTGACTAAACCCGGTGGTACTATAGAACCACATACATAGAGCCTGGTCCTGAGGTATAATGGAGTGGTTTGTGGGATTTAAGCTGAGATGCCCAACTTTTGATAAAGCGGTAACTAAATATAAGTGTACCATATTATTGTTCGGACTTAACTGGACTGATGATATGGTTGGATAAATAAGTTTAGATTGACTTCACTATGGAGTTAATTGAATTTTGTATAACTGAAGAGAAATTCTTAGTTTGACTTATTTTGTTTGTTGAAATTTAATGTTATTAATGGGAACCATATAAGTAAATTAAATAAACCTGAACAAAGCAGAAATGTTTTAATCAAACTTTAAGGCAACTTTTGCAAAACAATCTGACAAACTGCAAGCCCCTAATTAATTTTTAACTGATCTAAAATTCATGAAGTGCATTGGCATTCAGAACCTCTCTGCCCAGAATGCCAATGGTTTTAGTCAGGATTCAAAACTCTGAGCATTTTTTTCCCCTTTCTCCCTCCCTGGCAGGCGTTTCTCATGGCGCATTCCTCATTCCCTCTGCACCGACTCCTTCTGCTTCTTGAGAAATCTAATCACCAACGGGACAGGGGACAACAGACCAGCCACCGCTTTCTACCATGAAACTGAAATCAGGTCACAAGCCAGTGAGGAAACGTGTGAGAGAAAAACGGCAAGAAAAGGAAAGCCCACTTCAACCATGGACTCTCACAAGCAGACTGCTGGAGAGGAATCCACAACCGAAGTAAACAACAGCCAAAGTATAATGCAGGGAGAAGAGAAACCTGTGGAATCAGATGGGAAGATTGAGAGCACTGATGAGAAGATCACATTAGATGAACAGAAAATCCCAGAATGTTCTGCTCAATCTGGAGCTGATGATGGTTCCTCAAGCAGAGAGCAGACAGATGATCATGTCCCTGAAGAGCCAGAAGAGGCCCCAGCTGCTAAACCCGGAGCAGCTCCACAGGATCCTCCTGATCTATCAGATATGCTGAAGTTCTCTCTGAACAATCCAGGAGGAGCTTGCGTCGTCTCCCTCAGCCTGATGACTCTAGGGCTGCTAAGCGTTCATGTGTCCATCCCCAAGCAAATAGTCGTGGTGGACAGCAGCCTGGTGGACAATGAGGTAGTCAAGAGGTGAGTTCCTGGTTCACTGGCTTAGATGTCTAATCAAATAAATGTTTCAATTCTCCATCACAAGTGACCTGCACAACTCCAGATAAAACAAACCTATTGTCAGGTCTTGAAGAGAATTTATAAAAGTTTGACTTTTTCATTGTTTGCTGGTATGATTGTTTTATATAAACAGATCACCACTTTTCAAGTTTTTCTATGGTGGAATTAATATCTGATAGTTTCATTGCTTAGAAAATAGTTTAAGTTTTTTCTCCAAATGTTTCTTTGCAGATTGCAGAAAAAAAAAACAGCTCATTCTTAACAGACATAATTGCTTCTTTTTATGTGTTTGTTCTTCTTATCGGTAAGGTGGAGCTCATTTCAATCAGTTGAGTTATTTTCACTAACCGTGCTTCAGTGAGTTTCCATAGTGATCAATAGGTCTTAGACTGGTGTATTTTTTCCCAAATCCAGTTTAGTTGAATTTTGGTTCTATTGGGTTATCGTGAGGATACAGATGGGTAATCTTTCGTCTTCTAGTACTTTCTTTAAAAATCAATTTAAGGCCATCACAGCTGCAGATCTAAATTCAAGAAACTTTAAAAACTCAAGGTAAGAAAAAAGTAACAACTTAAAGGTACACTATGCAACCGGTGTTGATTTTCCAGCGAGGCTCCCCCCAGAGGGCGAAAGTAAAAGTGCACTGTCGTAAATATGCACAGCTGTTCTCCTGGTTTCTCCGTCAAGCCAGGCACGGTTGTTTTGAGCTTAGCAGACAGGCGAACGCAACGAATGACTAACACAGTGAAAGTATGAACATGCACACAGAGAGAGAGAAACCATTCCAATGTTACTTACAATCGCATCAGCAGAAACGCGAGGTCCGCGTCAGCCTTGCAGCCTTCTTTTTATTTTAGTTCTCGCCATTCGGAAAAAGCTTGCTCAATGTTCACCCGTGTACGACTCCTCTCTCTGTCCGGAGCCCTTTTCCTCTTTCTTGCCTGCTCCGACATGGGCTTTCTCTGTTTTCACGCTGGTTCCGCCATGATAACTGCACAAAGATCGCCACTGTGCTAGCAACGAGCATGCTTTTAACTGGGGGCGTGTAGCAGTTCTCGCCGTAAAGCAAGACCGACTCTCGCGAGACTTCTGAGCCTGTGGGTGCGGGTCGGTGCTCCTGCAATTGCAAGTGCGGTATTTCCCCCACAGACCACCAGGGCGGCCGGAAATACCTTTGTTCAACCTGAAATGACTCATTTAATCATCCAAAACGTTATGGAACACATTAATTAACTGAAAAATGTTGCATAGTGTGCCTTTAAAGAGACAGATTAAAAACAATAAAATAAAATGACAAAAAATACTAAAAATATTAAGTCTCAGTGTCAAAAGCCAATGAATAAAAAGGATTTTAAAAAATAAATTTAGAAGTTGAGGGTAAAGTAGCATGTCTGATATGCAGTCACAGCTGTTTGACTCTTTAACCTCATGGTGGTTCAGCTTTAGTGTTATTCAACCCCCATCTCTTATGCTTCCTCTTTAGCCACAGCCAGAAGCTACCTATCTCCAACACATTGCTGCTGTGTATCCCATACCACCGGTCAGGTGGGAAGTTAAGGCCCTGATGAAGCTGATTCCCCATTTACAGGGCATTTTGTGGCTTCCAGCTGGCATTCTGCTGCCAAGCCTGCATATTTGGAACATCTCTACTTATTTCCACCTTCCATCCCCTCTTTGTAACAGACAGGGAGCTCCACCAGAAGCATCGTGGATTTTCTATTATCTCGCAGGAGCTTTATCCCTCACGTCAACCTTATTGGCCAACTGCCTACTGGAGGAAAGGAGTACTGATGTGTCTCTCTGGAGAGGAAATTGATACTTCCTCTGGCTTTTGCAAACAGGATACAAGGTGTAAAATCAGTTAATAGACACATGTCTCCATACTTGGGACAATGTGTTCTGCTGCCTGATAACATGCATGAGGTTTCCCTTGGTGTATCAGAAAAACCTAATGGTCTCAAAGTTGAGTGGTTTGAGTGGAAGGTAGGGCTGCAACAACGAATCGATAAAATCGATAAAAATCGACTTTTAAAAGCGTTGGCAACGAATTTAATCATCGATTAGTTGTGTCGCGCGATTAATGCGTCATCCGCCGCCGCCGTCATCCCGGGGAAGAAAAAAAAATATGACGGAGCGAGTCAGCGGCGCAGTTGCAGTGTTGCCAACTCAGCGACTTTTCAGACCCCTCCAGCGACTATTTTTTTAAAAAGCGACTAGCGACAAATCTGGGGACTTTTTACGATGTCACTGCCGGCTTTTGGAGACTCTTACGTGAAAGCATGTATCGTTCCTACTCTTGTCCTCCAGCGGCAGCTGCTGCCGTGGGGCGCCTCCCCCATCCCAACCCCTTTCTCTCTCTCCCACAAGAATCCCTCTCAGCGCTGCAGTCCGAGCCGCAGGATTTTAGTGAGGAGTTTACCCTCAGCGTCCAGACTGCAAATGAAGCGCGCATGCCCCTGGATTGACGGCGCAAATTGATCACAATAATTAAAATAGCCTGCGCTTTGTAAAGTGAAAAAAGTAACATGCAACTTTTGTAAAAACAAATAAACATGGCACGGAAGCACCACTGTTATGACGCAGCACCTGAAAAGAAAACATGTTGGAGCCTTCAATGGCAGTGAAGAGAGCTGATCAGCAGGATGAGTAACCATGTTTGTTTCATTTTAAAGTGGGGAAACGTAAGTTAGTTTCTCAGGTAGCTCATCTGATGCTTTCCTTAGCTTGTTAGTAGGTTACAGACAGTGATAAGGTTGGCTAATTATTTTACTTTTAATTTCATTTGAATTAGCTTAAGCAGCGTTTATATTTTCTTTATAAATAAATTAATTTGCAAATTATGAGGGCAAGGCTTTTAAAGTTTAAATCTTCTGGCAAAGATAAAGTAAAGAAGATCCTGCAATTTATGGAAGTAAAGCAGAATAAAATCCAGCAAGATCAGTAATATGTCAATTAATTATCTGCCACATTCCCATGTAAATATCTGTCTTTGGAGGATGTGTTTTTTTAGCACCCCTAGTTCTCTCATTTTTATTCCAAATACAATTTATAATTTGAATCACAGGGCTATTTTTATCTCTATGGTTCAGTATTTTCTCAAGTAGCAACTTTAACTGCTATACTTTCCTGTCTTAAAAGGCAGAAATCTTCTAGTCTAAAAAAACCTCATTTGTTGAAATGGGGGGGCCTATTGTTTGAACCCCTTAGGGGCTTTAAAAAACAAAAATGCCTGTCTCTTTTTGCGCTTTATGAAACAAAGTACCCTATATTTTGTGGATGTACAGCTACATTTCTCATGTAAGTTTGCGTAGTTTTAAAACAAACATTTAATTTTTCATATAGCACCAGTACAGTTAATGAGCAACCTGTACTTGTGTGCTTGTTTGTTCTGTCTAAAATGTTTATTTTGGAATAAAGAGGTTAATATAAAAAAAATATTTTGTGTCCGATTCATCGATTAATCGAAAAAATAATCGGCCGATTCATCGATTTTCAAAATAATCGTTAGTTGCAGCCCTAGTGGAAGGTGAAGATTAAGGAGATAATCCTCTTGCTGTTTAAATGCCTCACAGGATGAAAATGTTAATCTGTTATTATGACAAAGTCCCAGCCTCACCCTGATCTAAACTGTCAGACTTGTGGTTAAAATTAAGGTAAACATTATTTATGTTAAGATGAATGAACAAGCATGCAGACTGAATTATTTCAGATAGTAACAGAACTGATTGGGGTTTGTTTAAATATTTCAATCTGGGGCTTAGAGAAAATGTTCTCTAAATCCAAACCTTTGCAAATATGATTTATTTTTTTTTATCATTGAAGTTGTTTTTAAAATTATCACTGGAAGAAGAATAGTTCACACACATCCGTGAAAACCTTAGGATACTTGGCTGTGAGGAGCCAGTCGAACCTTGGACCAGAGCTGTATGTTGCCTTGGAAAACAATGGCAGGATGTTGATCTGAAGCCAGCATGTTGTTATTCTTTTTAGTTTTTTTCCCCTTTCATTTCCGTTGTTAAAAATGTTGAGAACTTTGGTTTCACTTTGGAACTTGGTTGCAAAGTGAAACCAACCTTTCAGCCTTTAAGTTAGTTCACCTCACCCCAAACGGCTAAGTTACCCCGCAGCATATCTTTGGGTTCTGCAAAGGCCTGGTAGAGATCGGCTTAGAAATTTTAACCCTCTAAGCTGTTTTATAGTAGCTCTTAATAAATGCCAACTGCTATTGTCTCCCAGTCTCAGGTTTTGATTACAACCTCTGGGCAGCTGCCTTGTCCTGTTAAAGGAAGCATCCCTACAGCATGACGCTCCCATTACCATGTGTCAAAGTGTGCATGGTGTTTTCAGGGCTTTTCTGGTTGTTCAAACACACAACTATTTACACATAGACAAAATGTTCAATTTGTTTTCACCTGATCAAATCAACCCTACATTACATTTTTCATATATTTGGTAAACTACAGCTGGGAAATGAGGAAAACTTTTATTTTTAGCATAGCTGCTCTGGAAGAAGATGATGACGATGATGATGACGACGGCGAAGAGTGTGAAGGGCGGAAAAGGCTTCAAGTGAGCGCACACCAGGCATCACACACCAACTACCTACTGATGCGGGGATACTCCTATCCAGGAATTGGTAAAGTTTTTTTTGTGCATTAACCCAGTGTTTCATGTTATGTTTGATTTATAAGAAGAGAGTAAAATGCCTTTAGAGCATCCTGACCAGATTGTGGGCAGCACATTGGCTTCTTTCAGTGCTTGTAAACTCAAGAGCAAAACATGGATGAATACAGAGACAACATGGCAACAAAGCAGCATATCCAACACCTGCCTAGCACTTTGTTTCAGTAGCTCCTAACTGTTGTTTCTTGCTCCTGTCCCTTCACCTTTCATGCGATCAGCAGTAAGAACATTATCCAGGGTAAGAAAGGAGCTCCAGGCTGCTTTGCTGAATCCAGACAGCGTTCAACCTTATAGACGTCAAATTAGGACTACAGCTTTCTGGAAATGGACTACAAAAAACCCAAAGTTACTCAAATATAACAAGCAGCTAAAATCCAATTTTATACCAAAAATATATTAAGAACAAATGTCTCATCATCGGGATTTGCTCCGTGATCAGAGAAAATGTTACTTGGTGCAGAACAGTTGTGAAAATTTGAAGTTCAGTTTAATATAATAATACAACTCTGTGAATAGTTCCGTCTGAAATGAATGAAAATAGTTGTTTTAATGGTTATAGAGTCAGATATGTGGCGGTAATGTTTGGTTTATCTAAAGGTTTTAATCTGTTACTGTGTAAATGAGTTTGGCTGTAATTTAAGGACAGATTCTAATAGATCTGCAGAGTGGGGGCTATAAATCTGATAGGATTTTAATTTTTTTATTGTTGTTTTGCACAATATGCTTAAAGTATTTTTTGTTGTTGAATATTAGAGATTTTGCAGATATATTTTGTAGATACATTGTTTAGATTTACTTATATATTTCTACCCCTTTTATAGAATAGAAAATCCCTTTATTGTCCCACAATGGGCAAATTTACAGCAGCAGAAAGATTATTGAAAATGGTCACACAGATGAGGACCTTAGAAAATGTATAAGAATAACATAATAGGGAAGAGTTAAAATATAAAAAATAAAATTCTGTAAAGTGTTTTAACAATATAAAACTGGAGAATTAATAACCAATATGCAGCTATGGACATTTTTACAGTAATGGATATTTGAAAATAGCAGCAACATCAGAGATGTGCAGAATGACAGCAGCATGTTATTTAACTGACTAAGGTTTCTATCATTACATTTGATTTGATTTGTTCCTGCTCCCGGTGGTTGGAACCTTTATTCCACTCTGGATTCTTGTGAGTGTAGTCTTTGTTCACTTTAACTTTTTAAAAAATAAATAAATAAACAAACAGTTTTGAAAACCTCGGTATTCATTCTTTTCCTGCTTTGTGTGTCAACTTTCACGGTTGCTAAGCAACAGAGCATACGGCGGTAAAACCCGCCGAAGGGTAGACCTGTTCGAATTTACAGACAGAACTCTTCCGGCCTCATTATTTTCAAGGACTTCGAAGGATCCAGTCTAGGTAGACCGCGTCCTTGGAGGTTGCAGCCCAGGTTTTCGAACAGAGCCTCTGATTAAGAACAGGGCTGCCCGCACTGACGCGGCTCAGGGATTACGTCACACGGAGCGTCGTGCGCAGTGAAATCAGGACATTTCCTCACTTTCTAAAAAAAAACCCGGGACGCCCGGGACAGGACGTGAAATACGGATATGTCCCGGTAAATACGGACGTTTGGTCACCCTACTTAAGCTCAAAGCTTGGTTTATGCTGGGTTTCCTTACTGATTTGTACTTTTGGAAGGAGTTTTTACTGATGCCATCTGATGGTGCCTGGGTATGGTGTGTTTACTGTCTAGATAAAATGTTTGAGATTGCAACATTTCAGTCACCGGTAAGGTGGAAATCTTTATGTATGTCATGTGATTTTATTGCTTTTTTTTCTTTTAAAATGTATTTTGTTAATTTAAATGAAGGTTTAAATTATATTTAGTTAAAAGAAGAAAAAAAACTAATTGAGTATAATAGACGTCCTGAATAAATTGTCTTCTTTTTCGCTTCAGTTAAATTGCGTAATCTCAACACGAATGATAACATTGTGGTTGAGTCGTGCATCATGAATCTGAAACTACGAGACACTCCTGCTCACCATTTCTTCAGCGATCAGAGTAAGTATCTGTCGTTTTTAATTTGCACACATTACTTCAATCTCCTTAATCATTTTTTTTTCTAATAATTTTTTTTTTTTTAGATGTTCCACCACTAGATTTAACTAAATACGGTCCCTCGCTGCTGCCCCCTGTCCTCACCCGTAACATCCTCTCGCCATCCTCTTCTCCACCCACTGCGGAGGAATGTGAGAGACGCTTGATCCAGGATGGAGGATACACGGCTCAGGACATTGAGGCGTGTGCTCAAATCAGGAGGAGTTTACATGAAGCTGGAGAAAAAGGTTTGGATGCAAGAGACCTGCACAGGTCTCATGTCCACCTGCTGGAGCCGCAGTCTGGACGCACGAGGAGCCTGCAGCAGTACTTGCAGGTAAAAATGTGCATAGCTCTCGTAATGTTGATGATGGGCCGTGGTTCCCTTTTTGTAAATACATTTCTTTGCCTTAGGACCTGCAGGTAGAAGGCCAGGTAGTCCAAGTCGGGAGTATGGGTGTCCGCTGGGTCCTCATGGAGCATGCCGAGCCGTGGCTCCTGACTGTTAACTGCAAGCAAATCCCTCGGTCTCTCCTGACGGGCAACAGACATTCATACCTGAGGACTCATCACAACATTCCTTTTGCACGCAAGAGGTGCAGCACAGAAGTTCATCGGGAGGGAGTGGGGCCGCCTGCGAAAAGGCTAGCTAAAGACAGAGAAAAAGAGACGGACAAAGAAACAGTGGATGGATCTCCAGGTGAGGTAACTGAGAAACCGAATGAATACCAACAGCCAGAACAGCAGAACGAGAAGGTTGATGAAGGAAGTGGAGATAAATCCATGAATTTGGAAGAGGGGAAACATGCGCAGTCAGAACATGATGGAGAAGAACATGATGGACAGAAGATGGAAACTGAGCAAGGACAAAGTAGACCAAAAAGAACCAGAAAATGCAGATTTACTGATGAAAAAGATCAAGAGTCATTCTTTCTGCAATCAGGATCAGCTGATGCTGAGTGAGTTTCACCTCTATGGATTCCTGATGAGGTTATTTGCTCCCCTCCTGTGTTATAATTTCTTTTTTTGTGTCTTATCATCAAACTTCTTTCCGCACAGGGAGAAACTGAGTTTCATCAGCAGGCCGTGGCGCTTCATTGATGGGAAGGTTAACCGGTCGGTGTGTAAAGGGATCTTGGAGGCCGTTCTGTATCACATCATGTCTCGGCCAGGGCTCACTCAGCAGGCCCTGCTGGGACATTATAAAGACACTCTGCAGCCTCTGGCAGTGCTAGAGATGGTTCAGGTAAACAGAAATATGCTAAACCTGGCGCTGCATGTGGGCTTCAAATGATTTAGAGCACATCCATTTAGTAGAAAAGATAAATCTGTTTATGGGTCTTTGAGTTAAAAAGATGAGCTAATAAGCTGAATTAATACTTGAGCAGTTTACTGAAATTAGTCTTCTTTTTCACAACTAATATCCCTTTCTGTCTTCCCCTCAGGCACTCATAGATATTGGTTGTGTAACAAAGAGAACTTTAGTTAAACAGCCCAAACCGTCACTTTTCAGCCGCTCTGCACCAACGGACAGTGGGGCCTCAGGGGTGACAGAGGAACCAGACACGGTGTTTTATGAGCCCACCATCAGCTGCTGCCTGCGGCTCTGTCGGGTGCTGCCCAACGACCGACACTGGAACGAGTGCTGAACCTGAATCTGTGGATCTTTCTCGCTCACAAGGCTCCGCCTCCTTTCTTGATTTTTTTTTTTTTTTTTTTTTTTTTTGTAAATTAGGCCAAGATTCTAGTAGAAAAAACAAATTTCTATGAAAGATTTTCTTTTGGTGTGTCAATATTATGTCCCACTGTTTTTTTTATTTATTTAAGATTTTAAATAAAGATTTGTTTCACCTTATTTTGCATTGCACTAAATCTAGAGAATGGAACTATTTTTTTTTACTTTTTACAAGAAATGTAAAACACCTGTTTTTAAAATCACTAAAACAAAATCTTCACCTTTATGAGCTTCCAGATTTTCTTTACCAGGATAAACAGCACTGATGTCCAATTCGGGCACTCGAGGGCCACAGTCCTATGTGCTTTAGATGTTTCCCTGGCTTGAAACATTTGACCTATATATGCATCATAAGCTAAATAACCTACTGAGAAAGTGATTCCTGTATATGAATCAGAAAGAGCTTCCCTTCTGTTCTTTATTCATTCCTTTTTTGTGTACTTGCTTACTTTTTGAGTCCATCCTTCTGTCCTGTCGTCATTCCCTTATGTTTTTTTAATTTCACTCTTTATTTCCTACCCTCACTGTATTTTACCTTTTGTTTTTTGTTTTCTGTCTTTGCATCTTCCATGTCTGTTTTCTGTCTCTGCCCTACTCAGGTCCTGCTCAGTTCTTTCAATCTCCTTGTTTTAGGAGATTACATGCTTAAATCTTATGAGAACTTAAATTTTTTAACAGTGAATATAAAAGAACAAGATATACCTCACTGAACCAGGCAAAGGATTTAAAAGGAGCATTTTAAAGGAGCATAATCAGCGGATAAATTCTGCTGATTATTAAGTATTATGTATTAAGATTCTGTTGTAACTTATTCTTGTACATATATACTCCTCACTATTGTTTTAACTGAAGAAGCTCATTGGATAAAGGTCTAAACGTCTTAAAGGAAAAGAAAAGACCTACCCTCTCCACTTTGAAAAAAAAATGCATAACCCTGTACACGCTCCTAAGAGGGTCACCTCATTTAATGACTACTGGCCTGTTGCTCTGACTTCCATTGTGATAAAGTGCTTCAAAAGGGTGGTTAAAGAACACTTCTTCTCTAGTTTTTGCACCATGTTTTTTCTCCCATACTGTTTACATTTGATAACTGCTGCACTTTATGGACTGTAAATTTTCATTTCACTAAGCTGCTGCACATTAACAATGAAGGTTGTCTAAGTCGAAAGTGTGTATTAGAGCTTAAACAATCGGATTAATCATAATAATCGATAATTGAATTAATCGTTAACTGGAGTATAGAGACTATACATGCCTTTTAGCTGACAGAGCAACCCACTGAGGAATTAAATATATCAAGATTGTAAAAAAAAAAATAAATTTTTTTTTTTAACCATTTTGCAATTAAGATAAAAAAAAAAAACGTTCCTCACTTAATGTGCTCTAAGTCGAAGTCCTAAACTGGAAAGGTTTTAGTTTCACCTGGGTTGATGTTGTAAAAAAAAAAAAAAAAAAAAAAAAGAATCTTGAAGGAATCTTTGGCTATCCAATTATTAATTAATCAAAAAAAAAAAAATCAACAGATGAATTTATTTGCAGAATAATCGTTAGTAAAATGAGTGGTGTTAATAGGACTGTACAATTTAACACAGAGCCAGGTTATATATTGCCCTGCCCTGTGCAGTGTAAAACTTACTGATCTTATTTTTAGAGGTAGTTTTACTCAATTTGGTGTTGTAAAACTAGGTTAAAATACAGTTTATTTTGTTTCACTCTACAACTAACATCAACACTAATTGGACCAGCATTAAACCAAATATTCTGACACTAATATCAAAGTAACTTCTACATTGTACAGGGCAGGACCACATGTAACCTGGCTCAGTGTTGAAAGTGACTCTTGATGTTAAAAGGGCATTTTTGTTTTAAACCAGGGTGTACATCTGAACCTTAAACCAGAGTTTATAGGGGGAAAAGACCCTGTAATTATCAATGTATTAACTTATTATTCATTTTACTCTTTGTTTATTGTTATCAGTATAGATTAACCATTAGATGTTTTTGATGCCTGTCACTTTTTGCTCACCCATCAGTGCACATTGGCCCCTGCCTGACCACCCCTATGAAAAGTCTGGATGGAACCACCACTGGTCAGGCACTATGCTAATGTGACCACCTTTGGAATTACAAATGTAATGTAATTCTGTAAATAAATGTGAAATTCTGGGCACTTACCATGTTTTTCCAGCAAGGAGGAGCAGTTAAAAATTCCAGTCTGTATGGAGCAAAAGGGCAGAGTTTTTCAGAGTAATTTTCACAGCAAAGACTGAATTTTCTTGAACATATGGAAAGCTCTGTGTTTACACCTTGAAGCTTTCTCTCTCTGGTTCTTTTCCTGAGAAGAGGTCACTCAGGAAAAACTTTAAATAACACTTCATAATGTATTTGTATTAAATGACCATGAGAAATGACAACAGTTTTTGTCAGAAATTTTAATCTTACTCGGTCCTGAGAAGTTGCTTAGGGTTACAGATGGCAGCGCTTACCATCTTGGGCACACCTCTCGTTGAAGTGGTCCTAAATCACCGTTAAAGAAGCATTATATACAACTCCAGTATGACACATCATTACATAATACAGGTTTGCAGATGAGTAGACATCCATTGCTACAGCCATATCAAACTATTATACAGTGTCCCACATAAAAACACAGAGAACTCGCTATTAAGAATGATCCACTCTTTCCTTGGCCCCATTTCATTCTCAAATCTGTGGTTTGTGCATAATGAAGATGACTGTATATCCTGACAGAGGAACGGTGCTAATTGGATACTTTGACACTCCTTTGACATGCAAAATGCAGGTAATATTAGGGATTAACAGACTTGCACATCTTAAATAATATTCCTAACAACAGGTTACACAGTAAAGAGTAATATTACACTGATTTAAAATAAATATTAACAACACTGCAAGACATACAGTAGGGAGGCATTTAACACGCAGTGTTGTTGGAAAGACTCTTAGAGGGTTAATAGAATCTGAAACTGCTAATATACACATATTAATACATAGTATATATGCCTAAATGTAAAACTCACACAGAGGTTCACATTTGTTTTTTTATATTTGTATTTTTTGCTAAATATGTTAAGACATCAGAGAGGCAGGACAAATAATATGTTTGCAGATGGCTTTTCTTTAATTACTCTATTGTTAAATTTCTTGGTCCAGTGTGCGACCATTTGGGTTATTCAACTCTGGCTCCTTGAAATGGAATGCACAGCAGCATGAACACAAAGCAGTGCTTAGAAACCTTTTAGGAAACTGATAAAGATCCCCGGGAAGTTAAAACACCAGGCTGTGCTGAAACCTCCCCTTTAAACTGCTATTTCCTGTGCTTGTGTTGAGCTAGCTAAAAAAATAGGGGGGAAAATAAATGTTTCAGATCATCCACAATGGTTTTCACATGCTCATTTCACCCAGCCAGCATGCATGGGTGGGGCCCACATGGGTTTGTTGTGGGCTACATTGGAAATGAGTGGCCATGGGAAATACACTACCGTTCAAAAGTTTGGGGTCACCCAAACAATTTTGTGTTTTCCTGAAAAGTCACACTTATTTACCACCATACGTTGTGAAATGAATAGAAAATAGAGTCAAGACATTGACAAGGTTAGAAATAATGATTTGTATTTGAAATAAGATTTTTTTTTTTTACATCAAAATTTGCTTTCGTCAAAGAATCCTCCATTAGCAGCAATTACAGTACAGCATTGCGAACCTTTAGCATTCTAGCTGTAAATTTGTTGAGGTAATCTGGAGAAATTGCACCCCACGCTTCCAGAAGCAGCTCCACGCACCTCCAAATTGTGCTTCTTGCACACACATTTGTGTGTTTAGGGTCATTGTCCTGTTGTAGATTAAATTGGCTCCAATCAAGCACTGTCCACTGGGTATGGCATGTCGTTGCAAAATGGAATAATAGCCTTCCTTATTCAGATTCCCTTTTACCCTGTACAAATCTCCCACCTTACCAGCACCAAAGCAACCCCAGATCATCACGTTACCTCCACCATGCTTAACAGATGGCGTCAGGCATTCTTCCAGCATCTTTTCATTTGTTCTGCGCCTCACAAACGTTCTTTGTGATCCAAACACCTCAAACTTGGATTCATCTGGCCACAACACTTTTTTCCAGTCTTCCTCTGTCCAATGTCTGTGTTCTTTTGCCCATCTTAATCTTTTTCTTTAATTGGCCAGTCTTAGATATGGCTTTTTCTTTGCCACTCTGCCCTGAAGCCCAGAATCCCGCAGCCGCCTCTTCACTGTAGATGTTGACACTGGTGTTTTATGGGTACTATTTAATGAAGATGCCAGTTGGGGACCTGTGAGGCGTCTGTTTCTCAAACTAGAGACTCTAATGTACTTATCTTCTTGCTCAGTTGTGCAACGCGGCCTCCCACTTCTTTTTCTACTCTGGTTAGAACCTGTTTGTGCTGTCCTCTGAAGGGAGTAGTACACACCCTTGTAGGAAATCTTCAATTTCTTAGCAATTTCTTGCATGGAATAGCCTTCATTTCTAAGAACAAGAATAGACTGTCGAGTTTCAGATGAAAGTTCTCTTTTTCTGGCCATTTTGAGCGTTTAATTGACCCCACAAATGTGATGCTCCAGAAACTCAATCTGCTCAAAGGAAGGTCCGTTTTGTAGCTTCTGTTACAAGCTAAACTGTTTTCTGATGTGTGAAAATGATTGCACAAGGGTTTTCTAATCATCAATTAGCCTTCTGAGCCAATGAGCAAACACATTGTACCATTAGAACACTGGAGCGATAGTTGCTGGAAATGGGCCTCTACACAGCTATGTAGATATTGCACCAAAGACCAGACATTTGCAGCTAGAATAGTCATTTACCACATTAGCAATGTATAGAGTTTATTTCTTTAAAGTTAAGACTAGTTTAAAGTTATCTTTATTTAAAAGTACAGTGTTTTTCCTTCAAAAATAAGGACATTTCAATGTGACCCGAACTTTTGAACCGTAGTGTATATAGTTAACCTAAAATGTGACCAATATGGGCTGGCCCATTTGGGTTGAATGTATGAGACCTATTCAGCAGCAATGTGGGTTAGCTGGGAAATGGGAAAGAAATACACAACCTTATATGGGCCCATGTTGTTTCAGTATCATGGGCCCAACATGAGAAGCCCATGTGGGTTGACCACACTGAACCCCCCTGAAATAAGCATGGGCTACATGGGTCTGACATGGAAATGTAGGCCCTAGTAGATTTTTGTGTGGGGTAATGGGACAAACCTGGGGAACATCTTGATAGACAATGTGGTAACTGTTACTTTCAAACTTTTCACTATATGTCAAAAGCAAAAAGATTATAAAAAATACCAGAGAAATTAGATTAATGGCCTTTGCAAAGGCAATTGTTAGTCAGCTGGCCTGTATTGGAGTTTATATAAATTGTAGAAGCAATTGCATAAGCTTTTCTTTCTACAAAAGGAAAAGCTCTCCTTGGATGGTGATACCTAGTCTTTGAGGTCACCAAGGTATATAGTATTCGAGCCTAAAACATATGATGTGTGTGTCTGGCTCATTTACTAACACCGACATGAAACAAGGCTTCCAAAAAGACTAGGCTATTGCTATTAAAAAATTCTTCAATGCTGTCTTTTTTAAACCAGTTCAGTATTCTTCAAGCTACACGTTGAATCCCTAACTTTTTTTCTTTTTATTATTTTACACTAGAACAGTCCAGTCCAGTCTGGATGTTTAACATTTTTGTGACATCAGTTTTAAATATGCACAATGCATACGTAATCTTCCGCTGCCTCCTCAAAATTAGGTTGTGGTTCATAGGGGACTTTTGACTTTGCCTTTTTTTTGGATCCCAAGTGTTTGTTGCAGCTTTTTAAAAGCAGGATTTTATTTGCAGAAATAGTTCAGATCAGACAAAAAGATAGTATGCAAAAATGCCCTTCATCTAAGCATTCCTAACCTAAAAACAGTTCTGACCAAAGGAAGGCAAACGACCGTTTCCAAATAACATAATGATAAACAAAAAAATAAAAAATTCTGTGGTTTTACGGGGTAAAAATAATGCTTTAGAAGGCGTGTTCCTAACATTAGGTGTAAAACATAAAACAATAGTGTTTATATAAACAATCCTTCATCATTTGGGCAACTTGTCATATTTAAAGTACGTAACCATTATTTTGTACCCCATATCATAAGGACAGAATCTCACTTTCAGTTTAGGATTATAGCACAACACAAATCAAAAGAATGGCTCAAAATTAGATAAAGTACGTGTAACATTTTTTTATTGAGGTTTTTATGGCACTAGTGGCTCATTTTTTGTACAGTGGGCTGACAGGAAAGGGGGAGAGAGACATGTGGCAAAGGACCTCAGAAAGGATTTTAACCTGGGTCGGCCACAATGAGGACTAAGACCACTATCTGAAACAGATTTTTAATCTAATAATTTAGTACCTGTAATCTAACTTTACTGTAGAGAAGTTAAATAAATTTATCGAGACTTAAATGCCTTGCTGAATTTTACTTTATAGGTAGCCAACTACATAAAACAGAAAGAAAACACGCTTTAAAAAATGACAATTGTTAGATTTGAGGGCAGTCTTTACATACAAAGAGGCAGGATTTGGGATAAGGAAAAGGGTAAGGTTTCAACATTGAAAGTGAGGGAAGTAGCGTTACCTTACACCTAGACTTAGACTCAACTTTATTTATCCCTTGGGATTATTTCTTTGGGAAGTTCTGGTACCAATAGCTTGTATTCTATATAAGCTATTGGTACCAGAAGTTCCCAAAGAAATAATCCCAAGGGATAAATAAATAAATAGATAAATAAAGTTGAGTCTAAGTCTATCCATACATGTGTGACCCTTTTATAATGCCTATTGTTTTGCTGCTGCTGCAACAAATTCCCCATTAGAACCATAAAGGGATTTTCTATTCTAATCTGTCTTTTCTTTTTTACCAATCTAGATAGAATTGATCAGTATGATTTGATTAAAATGATTTTAAATTCAAGTATTGTGAATTGGTGCTGCATAAATAGACTGAATAAAAAAAAAAGGAAGACTTTGAACTGTCCAATAGGAACATAATTTTTAAATGCTACTGAAACGTCAATCTAAAGAGGTCAATCTTGTGGCGTATTTTTAAAAATCCATTGAGTCAAAAGAACTTAGACTGAGAGGCAAAGAGTTCTTTGTTTAATGGACCACATCTTCAAAGTCTCTGGCACCATATCACTACATCCTGATGTTGATTTTTGTTAAAAACAGGAGTTTTGAGGTACAGTGAGGAAAACAAGTATTTGAACACCCTGCTATTTTGCAAGTTCTCCCACATAGAAATCATGGAGGGGTCAGTAGTTGTCATCATAAGAACTCATTGTACTGGTGCTATAACCGTCAACTTAAAGCACTTTGGAATAAGCTTTCAACCTACAGCTCCCTTCTCAAGCTGGCATCACACATACTACCTCACGTCCACTATGTCATCCAACCACAAACCGTTGCCATTGAGCAGTTGTCACTTGATGTGAAAACTCAGGACCTGTCTGTGCATTGCCTCTTATTTTGAAATTTAACTGGAACCATTTTACTCTTTTCATGTCTGACTTCCTGAGAGAGTAATTTTGCTCTCTCAACTGTCACATATAGACTTGATCCATGTATCTAATGGATGATGGAGGGAAGCTGTGTGTCCTGCTGCAGTGCAACAGAGTCAGTGAGAATTATTACTCTGACTAGAAAAGCTTTTATTTGTGATGGCATGAATGAAGAGTCTGTGTGAATTAGAGGTTAGTGTCCTCACACTGCTCTGGTCCAGCTTTCTTTTGATTATTGTAATGATGGAGTGCTACATGTTTCATTTCAGGGACAAGGCTTTTTTGATTGAACAATTGAGCAAATTGTTACTTAGAAAAGAAAAAATATTGCAAAGCTTAGCGCACATTAGGTTTTATTGGAGTTTTTACTTTTTTTACCGTAGTGTAACACATATGAGTGCAAATGAAGACTCAGATTCATAAATGATGATTCAAAATATTTCTCAAGCAATAAATTAATCATGTGTAACAGTTTTTAGGTTGTAGAATCCTACTTGCTTCAAGTGTATCAGTTCAATGGGGAAAAGTGGATTGTTATATGCTGCTGGCTCAATGTACTCAGTGCCAGTCTGTGAAAGCTGCATGAGAGGTGAGTAGCATTCTTCAGCACACAGTAGAAAAGAGTTAGAAACGTAGTGAAACATAGTTTTTTTTTACTAACTTAGACAAATAGTGTGTAATGACTATTAAGTAAATGAGTGCTTGGCACCAATTTTTGTACTTTTTGTTAATGTTGGAAAACACTTCATGTACTAAGTTAAAAGGCTAACATAAAGCTCTGTTGTAGTGTGCTGAGTGAAGCTGAGCCGTTGCACTGATTCGAACCCAAGTATGTTCTCATTCAGGTAAATAATTTATTATTGTATTCTTCATTGTATATTGAAAATAAGAATGTTTTAATGTGCCAGTCTGTGAAAGCTGCATGAGAGTGTGCTGAGTAAAGCTGAGCTGTTGCACTTCGAACCCCAATATGTTCTCATTCAGGAAATAAACTGCCTGATCACCCAGAATCTCCTTGTCTTCATTAAAAAACTACACAACGCATAGTCGAGGGGTTACTTGGGCCGGCCTGGTACAGCGAAGTGAAGCAGAACCCGGTTACACATGTCTGTGAGTAAAACTGCTTTAGAGGCTTCAACTATATAAGGAACAACACGGGACAGACATGGCTTTTCAGCCAAGCATTACTATTGTGACTAACTTTTATAGTGTTGCTTCACACTCTACTCCCCTGATATCAAATCACTAAATGATCTCTGTGAATCACCTTGCAGCAGCCTCACCAATTCAAAATCCATTCATTTATTTTTTTTGTGGCTTCGATTTTTTATCTTTCAAACGTTGGTAACATATTTTGTAGTAAATCCTTTACCTGTTCCGTTTAAAAAGCGTTGTGTGCTAGTTGCTCATGACACGTGTCACTGGTACAGCTCTGTGACAATGACTGCTGCTCTGCTTTCTTTGGATTTAGGAATATTTTTATTTATTTATTTGTAACTTTTTTTCTAGTTTGGACCCAGTCACATGCAGGAGGTTAATTCAATTTGTGGGACAAAAGTGAAGAAAGTGACACATTCCAATGCATAACAGGATATCTGGTCGCCCTTGCTTCAAAACCAAAAAAGGCTTTAACGACATTTATGAAATTGAATGACGATACTTTATAAGGCAGCCCATCTCTCTGGCGTCACACCCCAAGTCTGTGATAAGTTAACTTCCTCTTCCCCATCTAATACAGAGAGGCACCCCCTTCCTGCTCGGCATCAATTTCAATTCACTTTATTTTATATAGTGCCAATTCACAACACATGTGATCTCAAGGCACTTTACAGAGACAATCCAACCACATCATGCAATCAAATTGATTCAAAGTTTTCTACCTAAGGAAAACCAGCTGATTGCAAAGACTCATTGACTCGTAAAGCAATCCCTCACACCAAGCATGCTTGTAGCGACAGTGGAGAGGAAAAGCTCCCTTTTAACAGGAAGGAACTTCCAACACAACCAAGCTCAGTGTGAAGGGCCATCTACTGAGGCCGACAAGAGTTCAAGGAGATAGGACTAGACGTACAGAAAGTAGCAAAGCTGCAAAAGGTAACTGTTAACTAGCTCCAGGATGCGCCATTTAATATCACTTTTGGAAATCACTGTTTTATGCAACAGTATTAATAAAAATGTCAATGTGGACACTATTTAAATAAAGTTTAGTTCCACCTATGTCTCTTGTCTTTTTTAATGCATTTCTGATACACACTCTGGATAAAAACATAAAAAAAAAATCAGTTTCTGTTTCATTAGGCATCTGCTATGAGATTGAATATTGCGAGTCAGGTCAGGCTTTCACTATTGCTGCAATTAAAAGGGTTTCTTAGAATATATGATCAGAGACTATGTGCTTCTGAAATAGGCTACAGCCCAGAACTTCAAAAATTCCCCTTTCTTTCAAACACACACCACTGTCATCTACTATATTGCCACAATTTTTTTTACAGAGTGCCTCCCCTCTTCATTTCCTGTTTTTATCTGAAGGAGCTGAAGCTGTTTAGTTTCAGGTCAGCTCGTCAGCTTAACACTGTCTACTTAGGGCTATTTTTTGTTATCTGAAATCTCAAATTCATTTAATAGAAAAAACATCAACATGTTTTCCAGCTGCATATTTCTGGTGACTTCTTTTTTGATTATTCTGCAGTGTTTCCATGCATCTTCATGTGGTGAGTTTTCAGCCCCTAATGGGGGTTTTCTCTTCCGCTTTTGCTGAGGTAAAAAGTTCAAGATAACCTTTTTCAGGAAGACCCTTAATCTAAGAAGGTTTCTCAACTATTCTTTTAATTTCACACTCAGCACATCTTTGCAAATAGATTCTACATATTTATTATTGGATCTAACTTAATCGTGGTCCTGCTATTCCTGATGACTTACTTGTTTTTTTTACTTCATAATAGATTACTGCAGTATTTCCAAAAATATTGTTGCTTACTCTCACTTTGAGTTACAATAAAGTTTCTAAATATTTAAAAGGTATCTCTTAAAATCGGTCATTTCTTTATTTCAGCTCTATTCTCAAAAACATCAGTCGAGTGTGGCTTGAGAACTAGGACTGAAAACATCTCGGTTAGTGTAACACAGCAGTAGCCAGTTGAATAACATTTATATAACCTACATTAAAAAGTGGAATTGGAAGAAATCTATATCTAAAAAGATCCTTTTTTATTTACTAAAAGAAATTAACAGATTGTTTATGTATAGAGGACTTTAATAAAACAATACGATAACTACTTAGCCCTAAATCCATGCATTATACTGTATGAATAAATGTCTTATAGTGGTGTCTTTTATGGCGGCATTTTTATTTTTTTTTTACAATTTACTGCAAATTTGTGAAATAATGTTTTTTTTTTTGTTTATTTGTTTTTTTACCACCTGTTTGGTGACCTTCTCAGGCTAAAAATAAAGTTTCTTGAATCTGATGGGACATGATGAAACCAGCATCATTTAAATTCACCTAAAAATACAGAGAGAACCTACATGATTGCCTTGTAATGCCATGCCAATCCAGACCTAAATTGAAGGAATATGCTAACTAAAATGTTTAAATATTCAAAAAGGAAACAGAGAAAATGTTTCAATGATAATACAAGGAAAAAATCACATCTTATTTAAATAGATAGAAACAAGAACTATGAGAGAGATCAAAGGTCTATGTACGTTTCACCTGGCTCTTTATAAAAAAAATAAACAGAATGCAATGAAATATTTTATTTGGATATAATTTAGGGTTTCCTTTTGGTATATATTAAAGAATATTTACTATCGCCTCTTGTGATCTGGAAAAAAAAAATATTAATAGTTAGACAAAGGGATTTTTTTACGTTTGGCAGAGGATGATCAGCCACATAGTTTATTAAGTAGCGATGGAAGAGCCATACTGCTGAGAGCGAACCATTAGTGTGGAGCGTGATGTGCCGACTCAGAGCTCCGCGCACAATGAAGCATTTCTGCACAAGTACAGAGGGAAGATCGGAGCAGAGTTTGTCAGAGCTCATTGCGCAGTACCGGATCATTCCAGGTTAATTTCTCAGACCCTGCTGCTGCTGCCATGATCCATCTGTGATCCTGCAGCATGTGCAACGCTGCACGACAGGTGGTTGGCAGGATCAAACAGGACACAGCTGCATGGCTGATACTGCTTAGCAGATTACAGCACAATGATGCATTTTAAACGACTATCTGCTAATTTTTATTTAGTCTTGTCACGTCTTGTTGACAAAATCTCAAACCTTTGACTAGTCATGTTTTAGTCATCAAACATCCATGTTTAGCTTGACAGTTTTCGTTATTGTTGTGAAAAAAAGGCCGTCAACGAAATTATTTCGTCATCCTCATTGTTGACGAAAACAACACTGCCTTTCACAAAGCCAAATGTGTCAGGCGTGTATTTAACAGAAATTGGGCTGATGGCTTATACTTATTTCCATATCATGTGTTGGTATATGATAAGAGTTTCTAAATCTAGTCTGCAGAGTTTAGGGTGGAGTTCAAGGGGGAAGTTGAAGAAAACCACAATAAACATGTCAGTGTTGAAAGGAGAAAAATATGGGTTTGTCTCATTCAAAAAGGAACAACAAGAAAAATTGGTTGGTAGTCTATGTAGATGCATTTTTTGTCTGTCCTTTTTCAGGGTTTAATACCGGACTTAGGTAGCTGGGTCAGACAAGCATACCCACTCCAACTCTGGAGAAGAAGAGAGTGTAGCCTCTCTCGAACCAGACTGTAAACCTTCTCTGACTCCAACTCCTAAGCACGATCAGTAGGGAAAGATTTAGAAAGATGCTAAAAGACAGAATGCGCCTCCTTTGAAAACAAAATATGGACAATGCAAAACATCTTTATTAAAACCATGAAAATATTCATAGATTAAAACTTTCAACCACAGGTGCTAAGGGGACTGGGCAACAGTGAGAGGTGGAGGCCTCTGTGACCTGACCCACCTTCTGTTCCTTAGAAGTTAGTTGGATTTATAAGGTTTTTAGAATTATCTTTCATTGTTGTATCTAGGAAACTGAGGAGAGTAATTACCATGAATGGAGCTAAACCAAGATTCATGCAACCATCTAATGTTTTTCTGAAAGTAAATATCTAACAGATGTAATAGAAGCTGGAAAAACCCCAAGAGACCTCAGCCAAGCAGAACATTTTGCCCCATTTTGTGACTTACACCTATAGCAGATCAAGGCCTGGCTCACCTTTTTTTTTTTAGTACAATGTTTCTGGACTTCTTTGAGTCTGATACTGAAGCTGTCTTTAGTTATTGCTGCCACTCTCTGCTGTAGGGGGGACTTCTCCTTCTGCCAAATATTATTAACAAAAATCCTGCATCCAGATTATGATGATAATGGAAAAAATTGAAAAAGCACAACCTCCTTGGTGGAGGTAAATTACAAACATGCCTACCTTGCTACACTAGCATCCTATCTGTTTCTTTCAGATACCAACTGTCCAGATAAACCTGTGTTGACTCCATCTAGACTGGTGGTAAAGTACGGTGATCCAGCCTCTGTCACCTGTGTGGCTTGTCAAAAGGACTGTCTTCCTGTTGATGAGAGCGTTATTGACATGGAATTATCTGTGGGAAAAAGCTCAACAAATGGAACCACAGTGAATTGGACTGTAGACCATCTTACAGTATGGGACAGCCTCCTATCTCTTACTGTGTACCGTGAGTACATATAATTCATTGTCACATTTTCTATGTCTGAAAGATATATATATATATATATATATATATATATATATATATATATATATATATATATATATATATATATATATATATATATATATATATATATATATATATTACTGATGACAAGTAAAAGTATTCTTTCAATCATTATTCACATATCATTTCTTTGAATATCTTTCTAGAGTTTCCAGAAAGTGTTTCCATCAGCTTAATTCACATTGGACCTCTGACCGAGCATACAGAGTACATCCTGTAGTGCTCTGTACAGAAGGTAGCTCCCATTCAAAAACTAGTTGTGACCTTTTACAAAGGAAATACACAGCTGGGTAGCATGCATGGTGACAGTGCCCAAAAAACCCCAGTAAATAAGCTCTTTACTTGGAGTTTTAACACCAGTAAAGAAGATAATGGAGCCCAGTTCTGGTGTGACGCAAAACTGGAATTAGGACCTGAAGGACCACAGCCTCCTCCAGTGGTGAAATCAAACTATCTCACTGCTACAGTTCACTGTGAGTTTATATAAAAACACAAATACTTTAGGTGTGTGATTTTACTGAGAGGTTCACTTATTTCAAGAACTTATTTCACTAAATTGAATACATGATAGTTTAGAAACCAAAAATTATTTTTCAAGAAAAAAAAATTACAAACACTTTTTGGGTGTTTGTACATATTAAATCTGTCTTTTTTTATTCAAGTTGGTATTTTGTATTAATTATGAATTTTGGGTATGGTACGAGACAAAGTCATTGTGACCCTCTTTGACTTTTCCCATCTACCATTATCTGTTAAATTTGACCCCATCAGATATTGACAGACCCAAATTTAGAGATCAGGAGGCAGAGATGAGTTTTGCTGATTTAATTAAGAATCATACAACTGAAGCAAAGTCCAAAATCAAAATACTGAAAACCAAAAATCCAGTAAACCTCAGGGTGACCACACATGGGGTACAACAAGACAACGAAGCAAAACAAAAATAAAGCAGCAATGAGGAACGGCAGAGGTGGTGTTTTTTTGGGGAACAGAGCAAAGAATGGACTAATGAGCTGATATGGAGCAGGTGTGAACAGTACTAACAAGAGGAGCCAAAGGAGAGAGTAACCCAGGAACACAACACTGCTAGAAAACAACTACAAAGACACACAATTACAACAACCCAGTCTCATGGGAAAATGTACCCCCACTACGTTGGTCCACACTGCAAAACGTAGTGGAGGTACATTAATGGCCATTTTTTTGTGGTACTGTTACGTTTCTTCTGCCTATACGCTTTCTATTGTTTTACGTCCTAGTCACGTGACTTTCAAGATTCCAGCTGGGAGAAGAAAAAATATATATATATGGCTGACATTCGCTCATTTTTTTGTGGAAAGATTAATGACTTGAGTTTGTTTTTGCATTAAAATGAGTTTTGATTACATTTCTAGTGAGAAATGTATAGTTTGTTGCCAGAATATTTACTCAGGGAATGTACATATTCACTTGCTTGTTCGTTCCTTGCAAAGATTTTTCAAGATAATGTGAAACTAACATTTTGGTATAAACATGGCTGAGATTTCTCTAACTTTTCGTGGGAAAATCAATAATTTCAATCAGTTTCTGCATTTAAATGGGTTTTGATTACATTTATAGCGAGAAGTGTAGGGTTTATTTACATAATATTCACTTAGTGAACATACATAATCACCCGCTTGCTAGTTTTTGCTACGTTTTTCGGATCTCGTCAGGATTATGTGAAATTGCAACGTTTTGGCTGCTACCCATCGCCTAGCATTTAGCTGCCGCCCCGATTCAACATTGAATTCTTTGTGATTTAACTCCATCTGACGGATCAAACCCTCGCAACTGCGTGCGTTGCGTCTGAGGTTGATTTTCAGATCAATGCATTACGTCGTGGCATACGGGAGAAACTAATTAAACTAGTTAAAAAAAGGATCATGGGTTAAGATCGGATGTGTTTTATTTGGAAATCTACCGGATCCTTTGTGCAATTAACTTCCTGTTTGGTGCGATCTCATTGATGAGTTTTGACCAGATTTTGACCAAAGAGGAACTAAAAAAAAAAAAAACAATGAAGATAAAAATGAAGAAGGTTATATAAAGTACAAAAGTCAGTATTAAATAGAAATATTAATGAGAGAAACCGAAGGGAAGAAATAATAATGATCAGATTAAGAGTAGGTCATACTTATTTAAATGACAATTTATACTTAATAGGGAGGAAAAATAATGATAAATGTGAAGGATGTGGAGAGATAGAAAATGTAGAACATGTATTGATGAACTGTAAATCATCTGGACCTGAAAGGAAGAAATTGAAAAGAGGACAGGCCAAGAATGGAGTCTTAAAGGATTATTGGGAAATAAAGCAAATATAAAAGATATTTATAGATTAAGGAAAGCATTATTTATTTATCTTCAGAATACAAAATAAAAAAATAGAATTTAATAGATGTAAAACAATGTTGCTACACACTCATGAACAGTAGGTGGCGGTATGCCCGCCCCTTCCCTAGAGCCTGGTGGGATCGAAAACATTTTGAATGGAAATCAGTGGGGAGAAATTAATAAACTTCTGGTCCCAGTTGCTCTCTGTCACTGATTCCAGATATGCTGGTTGTGTATTCAAATTGTTTTTTGTTTTTTTTAGTTCCTCTTTGGTCAAAATCTGGTCAAAACTCATCAATGAGATTGCACCAAACAGGAAGTTAAATGCACAAAGGATCCGGTAGATTTCCAAATAAAACACATCCGATCTTAACCCATGATCCTTTTTTTAAACTAGTTTAATTAGTTGTGCCACGACGTAATGCATTGATCTGAAAATCAACCTCAGACGCAACGCACGCAGTGGCGAGGGTTTGATCCGTCAGATGGAGTTAAATCACAAAGAATTCAATGTTGAATCGGGGCGGCAGCTAAATGCTAGGCGATGGGTAGCAGCCAAAACGTTGCAATTTCACATAATCCTGACGAGATCCGAAAAACGTAGCAAAAACTAGCAAGCGGGTGATTATGTATGTTCACTAAGTAAATATTATGTAAATAAACCCTACACTTCTCGCTATAAATGTAATCAAAACCCATTTAAATGCAGAAACTGATTGAAATTATTGATTTTCCCACTAAAAGTTAGAGAAATCTCAGCCATGTTTATACCAAAATGTTACAGTTTCACATTATCTTGAAAAATCTTTGCAAGAAACGAACAAGCAAGTGAATATGTACATTCCCTGAGTAAATATTCTGGCAACAAACTATACATTTCTCACTAGAAGTGTAATCAAAACTCATTTTAATGCAAAAACAAACTCAAGTTATTAATCTTTCCACAAAAAAATGAGCGAATGTCGGCCATCTATATATATTTTTTTCTTCTCCCAGCTGGAATCTTGAAAGTCACGTGACTAGGACGTAAAACAATAGAAAGCGTATAGGCAGAAGAAATGTAACAGTACCACAAAAAAATGGCCATTAATGTACCTCCACTACGTTTTGCAGTGTGGACCAACGTAGTGGGGGTACATTTTCCCATGAGACTGGGTTGATTACAAAGCAACCCAGTCTCATGGGAAAATGTATACAAAGAAACCAAAAGGGCAGAACCCTGACACAGGTTGATTTTAGACTATGGTGTTTCTTAAAGCAAAGCAGTTTTCCTTTTTATGGCATGTTTATTCCTTAGAAATCAGTTTTAAATACAAAATAATGTCTGTTTTTGGTTTAGCTTGCAGAAAATGAAACTTTTTGTCTGTTAAAAATTGTGTTTCGTTTTTACTTAGAATGTTGGACAGTGGCAAGAATGGTCATCATCATTACTTTTACTATTACTATTTAGCCCCTGCAGATAAATATTAGATGAAGGGCTAAGGTGCAGAGCAACTAACAGCAATTAACAGCGACAAATTAACAACATATTAGTAGTATTTAGCTACTTGCTTAGTTTCCATTTAATTTAATTCCTGTTTAGAAATAAATTACAGATGATGTATTTAAAGAAAATACATTTTATATATGAAATTAAGTCCATCATGAAGTCTGAGATGCCCTTTGAAATGTATACAATGAGGTGTAGTGTATGTTCTATAATATTTGCATTATGTTTCCCTCTTTGCTGCATACACAGATGGGCCTGAGCTGAAGGTTTCAGCTGATCCACCTCCAATCACCATCACAAGAGGAAACACTCTCAATCTGACCTGCTTGGCCGAGGGCAACCCTGAACCTTCGTACAACTGGACGTTGCCGTCCAATAAGGGTTACAGCAGTGGGACCAGTCTCACCGTTCAGTCAGTGGATTATCAGGATGAAGGACAGTATGTCTGCACTGTTAGCAGCAAACTGAAAACTATCCACGTAAAATTTAATGTACAAGTCAAAGGTGAGGATTCTCTCTCTATTCATTTATAATAGAAATTGCACTTTAGAACATATTACCAGTATCGTATTTGTAATCTGTTTTTACTTTAAGAGTTATATTTTACTTTTTGTGATTGTTTTTCTGTTGTACTGTTGAGGTACAGAAAACTGAAGTCCAATCGCCTTTTGATGTATATGAACCTGGCATTTATAGTTCATTCTGATTTATGCTCAGCTTCATTGTATTTCCAGGATATGAGCCAAATTATTTTTTACAGCTGTTATTTACCTTTAACCCTCATTACCTAAAGAAGGAAGCTTATTATGGTCTGTTTGTGCATATTGAATTTTCTGATTAATAATGAGTTTTTCTTTTTTCTCTTCTTTTTTTTTAGCAAGCATCTGGCCATACATTATAGTTGCAATAGTTGTTGTTGCTCTGTTATCGTCATTGATCTTTTTTGTTTACAAACGGAATCGAAGCAGGACCAACTGAAGGATGTTTTCCTTTTGGGTTGAATGCATCACCCTGGACATGGTCTAAATTTTTGAAAAAGGATCACTGGACAATTTCTAGCAGAAGTTTGGAAGACATCTGCAGTGCCTCTAACATGTTATGGATTTATGTTGCTGTATGGTCTGCCATTTCCAATTTTGGACTAAATGTGCTCTATATAATGGAAGTTTTTAGTTATTTTTCAGTGGTTTAGATGTTCTTGGAAATTTATCAGAAGTCTTTACATCTGAAATCCTCCAATGCTGCATTGGATTATAATTAATAAGTCAATTTTTAGCATTTCAACTAATTTCTTTATGACTTAGATGAGGAGACAAACGGACAAAAATGTCTAATGCTACGTTCACACCGGACGCAGCAAAAGCAGCAAAATTGCGTCTGCTGCTTCATTTTTGCTGCTTGTACCAGTTAGTTCTGACGCGCGGCTGAAGCAGCTTTCCTGCTGTGGCTGCGCGGTGCAAAAGTGTGACTGACGCGCGTTGGGCGGAGCTTTACTATCCTTTCTCTGCCTTGCAGCTATATTTGCTGTGATCAGTGGGAATAAAGTAGTTTTAATATGTTTTTAAGTGAGAAAATACACTTGAAAACATAATCAGTGCAGTCAGTTCATTCAGATTATCATCCTGCCTTGCAATATTTTTTCTGTCGTAGCCGCACAGACCCCCACATACCTGCGGTGTGCCGACAGTAGGAATCCCTTCAACAGCAGCCTCTGGCCGGGTCGCCTCCTCGCGGTTCAGCGCGGCAGTTGGTAGGTGTTTTTCATCTAAATAATCCAAACTGCAGGCAGCAGGATAATAAAAGCGAACATATTCTGCCGGCAGATTTCTGCATTTTAAGTTAATTTATGCGTTAATAGACTGTTACAGAGGAGTGATCATAGCGCTCTGATCATCAGCGCTGTGTCTGTCTCTCTGCCAGCTCCCAGATCAGCTTCTCTGGTTGGTTGACGCGGCGCGTCGAGCAGCAAAAATTCAATTTTTCCATCTCGAGCAGCAGCGCGTTTGCGGCGCGTCAGATGCTTAAACGCGCCCGACACGCTGCTTCAGCTGCTCAGACGCGCTGCACCTGATGCTCAAAACACGCCGCGGGACCTTTTGCTGCGCCTTGACGCACGTCAACCATTGACTTTGCATGTAAACTCGCTGCTTCTGTCGCGCCAGCTGCGTCCGGTGTGAACGCAGCATAACAACACCGCCATTTTTACAGTGTTGGAACTGCGACACTGGGGTCCATTTCATGAAGCAGGTCTAAAAAACTCTTATTGAAATCCTAAACTCTAAATTGATCTAGCCTAAACTCTGAGTTTTCGGTTTCACAATGGCTGCTATAAATTAGTTCAATCAAGTCCAAGTAGAACGTCTCAGAGTTTATCACGTGTGTAACAAGTAGGAGAAGCCATTATCAGTGGAGCGCCGATTCGAAATGATCATTTTTATATTTTGTACTGATTAAATTCATTATATCACCAGGAATTTTAGGTATAGACAATGATCCATTGATCATTCCTTGCTGACCAGTCTTTTCCTTTAACTGAGTTTGAACTTATATTAGACATGCACTGGCTTGTAAATTATATGCCATTTCTGTAACTTCTCTTGTACTCATACATCTTATTTGAGGTGTGAAAGAGAGCACAAGTGTATTGTCAAGGTCTCCTTTTTACTGTCTCTAGTTACATTGCAATTAGCCGTGCCTGAATCAACCCCCCCACACACACACACACACACATTCTGTAGTTCAATCCATTCTCTGTGTGTACCTGTCCTGCTCACAGTATTTGATTATGACCAATTAGATCATTATAACTATCACAATAATTTTCATGGTCATGGTGCTGATGACAGGCTTGATTGCACATTCCATTCACCTGCCTAGCTCCGCCCAGTTTCTTGTTACCACTCATCTGTTTCACCTACTCCAGTCTCTATTTAAATTGCCTTCTTCCAGTCATCAGTGCCACATTATTCGAGCCCTTGGTGAGTTTTCTAGCGGATATTATTGTTTCTGATTACCTGGTCCTGACCTGTTCTACCTCTCAACAACTGAGCCTGCCTGTTCCCATTTGGATTTGTTTGCCTGACCTGTCTTGGGACTCCTGCTGGATTATGCCTGTTTAGTGTTTATATAAACAATCCTTCAACATTTGGGCAACTTGTCATATTTAAAGTAACCATTATTTTTTTAACCCCAGATCATAAGGACAGCATCTCACCTTCAGTTTGGGATTATAGCACAACACAAATCAAAAGAATGGCTCAAAATTAGACAAAGTATGTGTAACATATTTTTTTATTGAGGCTTTTATGGCGCTAGTGGCTCTTTTTTTGTACAGTGGGCTGACAGGAAAGGGGGAGAGAGACATGTGGCAAAGGACCACAGATAGGATTTGAACCTGGGTCGGCCACAATGAGGACTAAGACCACCAAAGCATGACTTTCCGAAACAGATTTATCAAGAATTAAATGCCTTGCTGAATTTTACTTTATAGGTAGCCAACTACATAAAACAGAAAGAAAAATGACAATTGTTAGATTTGAGGGCAGTCTTTACATACAAAGAGGCAGGATTTGTGATAAGGAAAAGGGTAAGGTTTCAACATTGAAAGTGAGGGAAGTAGCGTTACCTTACACCTAGACTTAGACTCAACTTTATCTCTAAAGATTATTTCTTTGGGAAGTTATGCTACCAATAGCTTATATAGAATACAAGGAATTAAGGAAATATGCTATTAAAGATAAAAATACAACATACAACATAAAAGATCATATATAATATGAAAAAGCATCAAAAACGAACTAACTTGTGCCCCGTGGAAGAGATTGTCATTTCCAAACGAAGCTAAGCTGAAGTTTGCTGGGAACAATGGTGCCATGTGTTGTTCTGAGGGTGTCCTACATAGCTGTCTTCTTATTTGTGAAAAACTGTGGCAAGTTTATTTTCTCCCCCTATTGTGCTCTTTGTTAAACAAACAGTATACGTAAAAAGTATGTACACAAACTACCATTTACTATGCTTAAATGTTACTTTATAAGCAAAGCAATTTAAAAGATCAGTTTTATGTCAATGCAAAATTGCTCAGTAATCTTAAAAAAAAAAGATTTATTGTGAAAATGTTTTAATAAAAAATGGAATTTCTGAATGTCAATTTTTTATTTTGTTATTTGTACCCCCTTTTATATATCCATACCTGTGTGACCCTTTTATAATGCCTGTTGTTTTGCTGCTGCTGCAACATAATTTCCCCATTTTGGTTCCATAAAGTGATTTTCTATTCTAATCTGTGGCTTTTTTTTTTTTTTTTTACCAATCTAGATAGAATTGATCAGTACAATTTGATTAAAATGATTATAAATTCAAGTATTGTGAATTGGTGCTGCATAAATAGACTGAATAAAAAAAAAAAAAGGAAGACTTTGAACTGTCCAATAGGAACATAATTTTTTAAATGCTACTGAAATGTCAATCTAAAGAGGTCAATCTTGTGGCGTATTTTTAAAAATCCATTGAGTCAAAAGAACGTGTGAACTTGAATGAGAGGCTTCTTTGTTTAATGGACCACTTCTTCAAAGTCTCTGGCACTACATCCTGATGTTGATTTTTGTTAAAAACAGAAGTTTGGAGGTACAGTGAGGAAAACAAGTATTTGAACACCCTGCTATTTTGCAAATTCTCCCACATAGAAATCATGGAGGGGTCAGAAATTGTCATCATATGTGCATGTTCACTGTGAGAGACAATCTAAAAAATATATCCAGAAATCACAATGTATGATTTTATAACTATCAGTAAGATGCTGCTGCTGCAAAGTTCTAAGGACTAAAAATACTAAGTATTTGAACACCTATGAAAATCAATGTTAATATTTGGTACAGTATGCTGGTGAAGATTCGCAGTCATCCAGGTCATAGCCATTTAAAAAAAAAAGGAAATTAAAAACAATCCACTGGACCTTGTTTCCAAGTTAAAAGATGATGAAGAACTCAACACTATTCCTGACATTTTGTATTAAAAAAGCTTCCCAAATGGGAAGCGAAACATCCAGTGGTTTGTTTTTTTTAGCTTTTTTGGTACTCCATTATAATGTTTACCGGTATGTTACATATGTGCATTGCAAAGACAGATCATTCAGATATCCAAAAAATTACAGACTTGTAAAAATCAAGAACTCATTGTACTGGTGCTATAACCGTCAACTTAAAGCACTTGAAATAAGATTTCAACCTACAGCTCCCTTCTCAAGCTGGCATCACACATACTACCTCACGTCCGCTATGTCATCCAACCACAAACCGTTGCCATTGAGCAGTTGTCACTTGATGTGAAAACTCAGGACCTGTCTGTGCATTGCCTCTTATTTTGAAATTTAACTGGAACCATTTTACTCTTTTCATGTCTGACTTCCTGAGAGAGTAATTTTGCTCTCTCAACTGTCACATATAGACTTGATCCATGTATCTGATGGATGATGGAGGGAAGCTGTGTGTCCTGCTACAGTGCAACAGAGTCAGTGAGAATTATTACTCTGACTAGAAAAGCTTTTATTTGTGATGGCATGAATGAAGAGTCTGTGTGAATTAGAGGTTAGTGTCCTCACACTGCCCTGGTCCAGCTTTCTTTTGATTATTGTAATGATGGAGTGCTACATGTTTCATTTCAGGGACAAGGCTTTTTTGATTGAACAATTGAGCAAATTGTTACTTACAAAAGAAAAAAATATTGCAAAGCATACCACACATTAGGTTTTATTTGAGTTTTTACTTTTTTTTACCTTGGTGTAGCACATATGAGTGCAAATTGTTACTTAGAAAAGAAAACAATATTGCAAAGCATAGCAGACATTATGTTGGGGGCTGGAGAAGTACCACCTTCCTCCAGCAGAGTCCGCCGTGGATCCTCCTGAGCCGAGCCTTCGACGCACCTGAGGCTCGTTCCATCATCAGAGGATCCACAGTATAAAAGCTGTCTTCAGACCTTGCCTCGACGCCGCAGTGTTGAGAGTCTAGTTGGTTAGCACCTGAGCCAAAGAACCTTCTGAGAATCTTTTGTTGCCCTCTGAGTCCTGCTAGGATTCTAATCCTTTGTGTCTCTGTTTCCAGGAAACCAGTTTTTCTCTGTGAGCTCTGGATGAGCTTATTCCGCCGAGCCTGCCCTCTGAGCCAAACCCGAAGACTTCTCTCTGGATTTCCCATGCAGTTCTGGATTAAGAGCTGGAAACCCAAAGCCAAGGTCTGCTCCTTCATCAGAAGTAAGACGCTGAAGCAGTTATCGGACTCTGCTGAAACAAACCTTCTCTGGACCCAACAGTTCCTCTCTCTGAGCTCAAACCGGAACCCTCAAGGTATTAACCTGAACATTAAAAACCCAAACCCAATTGCTCTCAAAGCTAACTGCTCTGTTATCTCCAGTGAACCAGTCCCCAGG